TTATTCCAGGAAGGCCCTAAGAACGAGGCGCTTCCTAAGCACCAACCATGGGATCACGAGATACCTTTGGAGAAAGACAAGAGTCCACCGTTCGGACCAATATATCAGCTATCGGAAAAGGAGCTGAAGGTACTTAAGGAGTACATCGATGATAACCTAGCGAAAGGATTCATCAGACCATCCACATCACCAGCAGGAAGTCCGGTGCTTTTCGTACCAAAGAAAGACGGCTCCCTACGGTTATGTGTGGACTATCGAGCGTTGAACAACATCACAATCAAGGACAGGTATGCCCTGCCGTTAATCAACGAACTACACGATAGATTTCAAGGAGCAAAGATCTTCAGTAAGCTAGATCTGCGAGGAGCATACAACCTGATCCGAATCAAGGCTGGGGAAGAGTGGAAAACAGCATTCCGCACCCGCTATGGCCTATTCGAGTATCAAGTCATGCCCTTTGGGCTAACAAACGCACCCGCATCTATGCAATGACTGATGAATGATGCTTTGCACGAATACTTAGACATCTTTACCATTGTCTACTTAGACGATGTCCTGGTGTATTCAGCAACCAAGGAGGAGCATGTCAAGCATGTCAAACTCGTCCTGAAAAAACTAAAGGAGTACAGCTTACTCCTCAAACCAGAGAAGTGCGAGTTCCATAAAAACCAAGTCGAATTCTTGGGTTACATTATTGGAACGCACGGCATCAAGATGGACCAAGCAAAAGTAACGGCAGTGTTGGAATGGCCAACACCGACCACGGTCAAGGAAGTGCAAGCCTTCCTAGGCTTCGCCAACTTCTACCGAAGATTCATCTCGGGATATTCCAAGGTAGCTCAACCACTCACGGAGCTTACCAGAAAGGATCTCGAATTCAAATGGACGGACAAGGCAGAGGCTGCTTTCCAGGAACTTAAGACGAAGTTCACGGAAGCACCTATCCTTGCTACATTTGACCCTGCAAAGAAGATCATCCTCGAAACGGACTCTTCTGACTTCGCAATTGGAGCATGTCTGAATCAACCAGACGAGAACGGTAAGTTCAAACCAATCGCGTACTACTCTAGGAAACTGTCACCCGCGGAACTCAATTACGACATCCACGACAAGGAGCTACTGGCTATTGTCGTTGCCTTTGAGCAGTGGCGAGTATATCTTGAGGGATCCACCTACCCTGTGCAGGTATGGACGGATCACAAGAACCTCATATACTTCACCACGACCAAGGTTTTAAACCGCAGACAAGTCCGCTGGGCAGAAACCCTCGCAGCCTACAACTTCACGATAACCTATCGCAAGGGCTCCGAGAATGCAAGAGCAGACGCTCTCAGCAGACGGACCGACTACGCCGGCCCAAAGGAAGAAAGACCTAGAGCAATTCTGAAGAAAACAGATGCAGGAATACAGTACAACGAGTTACTAGCGACGATCTCAGTCATCGAAGATACAGAACTCGAGGAAAGACTCAAGAAAGCTTACGCAACAGACGAATGCGCCAAGCGAGTCTTGTCCAAAGTCGAAGGTGACTTCACCATCGACGAACAAGGATTGATTCGATACAAAGGCTTAGTGTATGTCCCAAGTCAAATGAGACGCCCGCTGGTGCAAGAACAACACTCGTTACCAGCACACGGTCATCAGGGAGTAACACGAACCTTCGAACGAATCACTTGACACTACTACTTCCCAGGTATGAGGAAGCAGGTAGAGACAGTGGTAAGAGAGTGCGACATTTGCAGCAAGTCAAAATCCAATAGGCATCTGCCATACGGACAACTCAAGTCGACACCAGTACCAAAAGGAGCGTGGAAATCAATAGCTTTGGACTTCATCGTCAAGCTTCCACCCTCCAAGGACCCGTTAACAGGAATAGAATACGACTCTATCCTCGTCATCACGGAAAGACTCACGAAATATGGGAAGTTTATACCATATCTAGAAGCTAGCGACGCCGAGGCGCTCGCATATACCTTCATTCGAGTCATATTAGCCGATCATGGGATGCCAGAAGAAATCATCTCAGATAGAGACAAGCTCTTTACTTCGAAATTCTGGAAATCATTGATGGCGCTACTGGGAACAAATCATAAGCTATCAACAGCTTTTCATCCCCAGACAGACGGCCAAACAGAAAGATTAAATCAGACCCTTGAACAGTACCTGCGAAGCTATGTCAATCATCAACAGGATAACTGGGTTCAGATCTTACCCATCGCACAGTTTGCATATAACAGCGCGATGACAGAAGCAACGAAAGTCTCACCGTTCTTTGCCAATTATGGCTACCAGCCAGAAGCATATAGGCAACCAAGACCGGATGAATCACGAGCTGAACAAGCCCTGATCGTGGTGGAACAACTGAAATCGTTCCACGAACAACTTGCGACGGACATCCAATTCTTAAATGAACGATCCGCCGCATACGCAAACAAGAAGCGCAGTATGGAACCTGCCTTCAAGGAGGGGGATAAAGTATACCTACTCCGGAAACATATCAAAACGAAACGACCAAGCACAAAGTTGGACTTCAAGAAATTGGGACCATTCAAAATATTGAACAAAGTCAGCTCAGTTAATTACAGACTGCAGCTACCCAGGAAGTCTAGACTACACCCGGTATTTCATGTCTCACTACTGGAACCAGCAAGAGGAAATACCCCAATTGCGACCGACACCGAACTCCAACCCGAGAATGAGATAATCGAATATGAGGTCGAAGCGATCCTAGACAGAAGGTTAGTAGGACGTCGAGAAGAGTTTTTGATAAAATGGGAAAATTACGAACCTACGGATAATTCGTGGGAACCAACAAGGAACATCAGCAAAGAACTGCTGGAGGAATATCGACGCCGCCATCCGCCAGCCATTGATCCCAAGATGCAGGGGAGTAGGCCAGTGGATCGGAGGAAGCGAGGGTCCCGGTCACAGACGAGGAGGCAGCGCTAACTGCCTGTTCCTCGGCCTCAACAGCGTCACGCTTCTCAGCAGCCACACGTTCGGCCTCCTCTGCCGCATCAAGCTCGTCGAGGGTTTTCAAACCTCGCCGGAGCATATCTTTACCACGGGTTCGGATGAGGCGTTTCTGCTTCCGCAGACGAAGTAACTTCGAAAGGGTTTCTTCCTCTTCGCGATCCAGGCGATCCTCCTCCCGTTCGAGCTTCACCCAGTCGGGATGCTCAGGACCCATACAGTCACACTTTTCTTTCAAGTTGCGACGAACGCACTCGGCGCACCGCCGTGAATCATTTGGAGACGACACGCAAGTAATGTTTCGCCTCACGCAGTTCGAGCAAGAATCCATTTCGGGTAGTTCGTATCCGTGGTTCTTTATTCGACGGACAAAATCGTTACGTTCCTGGAGTTTGCGGGCAGTGTCAGTAGGCATGTTGCATGTTGAAGGACTCGCTGAGGAGCAGCAGAGTCCCGGGGACATGGACGTACTTATAGGATTCGAGACGAATGCCCAGGGGAAGGGAGCGAGTGTTACGACGGAACAAGAAGGCTGGCCAACTACAGGACAGGAAGGAGGGAGGTCGCATGAGACCGGCCCTGGTACCTGGAGGGGCAGCGGGGATTAGTAGTTCCGAAAGTATCACGTGACGGACTCGCAGGATGATGAGAAGAGTCCTAAGAGTCCAGGACTCCGAGGACTCGAGTGAGTTCCCAGGAGTCCACTAGGCACGTGATGGACTCGCAGGATGATGAGAAGAGTCCTAAGAGTCCAGGACTCCGAGGACTCAAGTGAGTTCCCAAGAGTCCACTAGGCACGACGCCACTATATAAGTAGATAGTATTTCCTTAGATAGGAGCTTCGTGCTCAACTCAATACAGTATTTGTTATATACTAGTAACGTGTTACTTGAAGCCTTTGTGTCTGATCCCCTGCCTCCTCTGATAAGTAAACCTTTACGCAAGAGAACCTCTGTGTCTTCTATCGTTTAGAAGTCAGCGTTACAACTACTCGTATTAAGTCCTCCGTTCTCACTTTTCTGCTGTCTATCCTGCCGGTCTATATTACCTTGAGTATATCAGGCTTTTAAAAGCTCAACTAATGACTCAATACTAGTCGACGTCCGGTCTTCACCCTGTATATTCAAACGCTCGTCTAGGATCATTTAATTATAGGAAGGGGAAGATATTCGCAGGCGCTTCTTGCGGCTTCTTCCTTGACTGACTGACTGGCCACGAGCGAAAGAAGTGCTTTGATAAACTGGTGTTGAGGTTTCAAAAGGAGGCTAGTTGATAGAGCTGATGTCCTCACAGTTATCACTTTGTAGCTCTTCGTCATCGTCTACGTCAAAGCCTGAGAGCTCCCGTGCTCTTTGGCCAATAGACTTATCACGACTTTTTGGAGGATTCCTCTGGTATTTCCTCTTTGCCGCAAGGGCTACAGAGAGTGAGTCCCGGATATCCTGCGCCCGCTGTGACAAAGCGAGAACAGTATTTGCTGCCTCACTTCACTCCTTATTAAGTCGCTCCTCCTCACCAACAACATCAATCCAGTTATCAATCTGGACAGTCAATTCACTCCAGAAGACTCGAATTCGATACTGGCTTAAAAGGATGATGCCATTCTCCAATTACAAAAACTGATCCAGAGCAACGAGCAACAAATCACAGAGCAACAAACAATTCAGAAATATCTTGAAAAGCAAACCCAACAAGCTCTGAAGAATGAACCAGGACACCACTCTCACAGTCGACTGTCAGCTCGGATTCCAAACCCTCCAATCCCCACAGATGGGATAGAGCCAGCATTTGAAGACTGGGTTGTGAAAATTCGCCTCAAGCTCGAAGCCAACATGTATCATTTCCAACACAGACTTTTACAAATGAGCTACATTCAGAGTCGACTGGGAGGACTGGCAGTTCGACATGTCAATCCAAGGCTTCGACCAAACTCTACAAACAAATTGCAGACAGCAGAAGAAATTCTTGAACTTTTGGAAAAAGTCTTCAGTGATCCCGATCGAATGAGTAACTAGCTTGTCTATTGTAGCTCTGGGTGACTGTATGTCTTTATTCCAACCATCTGTAGACACCACCTGTTGTCCACGGTCCCCCTCCCTCCAGACTTTTAATCAGCACGAGTACTCAGAACATGGCACTTGCAATATCACCAAACAAGTACCACATATCAACTTGTTTATATCCCTCAAGCTATCTAATCTTCCTCCGAATTAATCTTCCAACCACATAAAAAACTCTCATTCATTTACAAACGCCAAATATATCCCTAGTTGGCACGTACATCACGTACGGATTATCCAACAACAAGCCTCCCTGTACCCTATCCAAGACACCCCAAACAAAAGTGTCGCCCAAATACTCTCAAGTAAAGTTCCAGATAATTTCATAATCCACCAGCTCAGGGCCAGTCCATTTTTCACCATAAGCATTCGTCCTCTTCCCCGCGAAGAAGTCGTTGTGTGCACGCCTCAACACGTCGAACCATGATGACGGCTGGGGCGGAGTCAACCACTATTGCTCGTTAGTCTTCAGTCGTCTTCAGTCCTAAAGCCCTTTCATCCCCCGACAAGTTATTATGCTTACCTGGTTATGAACATGATACGCAAACGCCCCCCGGAAGAAGTGTTCCAGCGTCCGATTCGTCGGCGGATAATTGTCCTCCCAAATCCTATACTCCGTCTCGGCAAGCTTCTTCCTATCAAACTCCTTCACCGTCCCCAGCCCCTCCTTCTTCACGCCCTTCAGCACTCTACCCCCCACACTCTGTCCCTCAGCTCCATACTTCAGAATCTCCTCTGCCTTCGGCCCCTCATAGCCCTCCCACTCGTCATCGTGCGGAAACGCGTTCGGCTCTCCCTTAAATACGGCACTGTAATCGCGTAGACACGGCACGGGACAAGGTTTGTCGCCTTCGTAGTTCCACCATATGGGGTCGAAGAAGGAGGTCTCGAGCATCTTGAGCTCGGAGTTCTTCTTGTCTTTCACGGCCATGAGTCCGATTACCTGGGGGTGGAAGTTCATCCCCATTCGCACGCCTCCGCGGAGGAAGTACGAGCTTAGGCTTGTATTCGCGCCTAGGGATAGGACGGCAGTGTTGTAGTCTTCGGGGTGGGGGTATTGGCCCCAGCGCTCGGCGAAGGCGTCGTTGGGGTTGATAAGTAGGGGTCTCATGTCGCGGAGGAGGGTGATGTCGACGTCGAAGTATGCACCGCCGTAGAGATGAAGCACAACGAATCGGACTGCATCCGATACGGCCACGGGAAGCGAAGTCTTCTGGTTCTCGGTAAGGACGAGCCATTCTTGACCCTCGGCGTCCCGCACCAGCCCATCCGCAAGGGCCACCTCGCCCGCGGCATTTGGCATGCCCGGATTGGTGTAGTAGATCCCGCCATCCGCGTAGTCCACCTTCGGGAGTGGTATCCTCGATGGGAATTTCCACTCCTTCAGGACCAAATCGCCTCGCTTGATCAACGACAGAAGGCGCTCGAAGATAGGGTCACGAGTCATCATCTGCGCAATCGCGTACGGGTCCTTGTCGGAATCGATCCAGACCCACAAACGCGAACAGGGTAGGTTCTGGGTGTACAGGTAGGACTTGACGAAGAGCTCGAAGCGCCATGTTGCCGGCCCCGACCAGTACGCGTGATGCGGTATGATGGGGCCGTGGCAGCTTCCCAGGGACTTTTTCGAAGCTTCTTTTGCTTTAGGGTATTTCGCCAGTGTGTTTCCTTTTCCGTCCGCATTGAGGTATGGTGCGTTCCTTGGAGATTTTGCGCTCGCCCTCTCCGGTTCCTCAGGGAGATAAAAGTAATCCTTCTCTCCCGTAACAAGATAGTGAAAGCAGTCCTTCCTATCAAACATCTTATCCAGCTTCTCATACGACCCCCTACACGTCTCCACCAACTTCGCAATATCCGCCACGGTATCAACATCCGGTCTGGCCTCCAAATAATCGTCCTTGTACTCGATATTGCTCACAGGTCTATTAAACCAATTCGCATGCGGATTGATCTTCCCCAGCTTCAGCGTCACCGGCGGCTGCCCCGGCGAAAATATCACCCCCTTCGACTCCTCCTTCGGCTCCCCAGTCTTCAGGCGATGCTTAATCACATACTCGGCCGACGCAGCACGGCCCGTCTGCACAATCTCGACTATGGTGTATAATGACGTATACACGAGCGCCGCAACGAGCAGGTTCCGCAGCAGCGCGAAGAAGCCCTTCGCAAACGTGAAATCGGCCATGGCGCCCCGTCGTCGTTATAGTATGTTGTCGCCCAATGCGCGAGGGCTTCGTCGTTGGGTTTGGCTACCCCACTTTTCGTGGTAGAGGGTCGTGGGGGGAGGGAAGCTGATGACGTCTAGGCTGGGGGTTGTGCCATGTAGGAGCGCCTTTTGCCTGTCTGCTGCTGTTCGTGGATGGTGAGGAGGAAGACTTTCAGTCACGGAAGGTCGGAGGGTGCGAAGCATGCAACTTCAAAACCATCCCCCGTGGCCAAGGTGCTTGGGTGGAAGAGCAGATGTCAAAAGGTCCGCGCTAACCCTTGCTTCCGGAATGATTCTCCGCGGGCGCTTCCAAACGCGCGCTGGCGATAAATGACAGACGATATAGTCGATAGATCGAATCCCCAATGTAGCAAGGCCGCAAGCAGCAATAGATGTCGTATAATGAGAGAGGGAGGTTTGCCAGCGCAAGGCTGACAATGTTGAGGACTCGGGAGCTGGTTGACTGAGGGTTCGCTTTAGCCGCTTTAGGCAAGGTTTACGGTTCTCTAGTGCTGTGCCGCCCCATGTGTAAATGCAGGGGTCCACACGACGGCTGGTGGCAGTATTATCACATATCGCGTCGACAAAACGGCGACGGCGATGCTGCTGCGGACGGCTGCATACAAGAATTTGATATTTGCCTCTGCGAAACCAACAATGCTGAGGATATTATGGACGCGCCAAGGATACCGCCTCAGCAGGCCCGCGAGCCGCTGGATATTCAAAAACAACTACTCAGTCCTCCACGAGCCAGTATTTGAACGCGTAGACGTGCCCTGTGGCGTCAGTACTCACATCACCATAAAGTACCCTCCCCCCCAAAATCCAAATAAACAACCCCTCTAACACCCCCCACAGAATCCACAACCCCCCGGCCTCCCCATCCTCCCCCCTCCCAATCCTCCTCTACATAACCACCACCCCGCCTTCCTCCCCCCCTCCCTCCCCCCCCCTCCCCCTCCTCTCCCAAGCACACACCACAATTCACATCTGCCCCCCTCCTTCCCCATTCCCGCAACCCCTCCACAAACTGCTGTACGCATGGACGCATATCTTCTCTCTCTTGCGCCCTAAGCAGACACGGGTTTATACACAACCTGTCCCCCGCTACCCGCCGATAGCTATTTATGGCTCTTCAACCGGCGGCAGCGGCGGAGGCACAGGAGGTTCTCTCGCCACAGCCCTCGCGCTCACCTCAGTTCTGACAGTGCGGAAAGTGGGAAGGTATCCCTCCGCGTTAGTAACAACAGATTCCATCTTCGACTTCTCGCCCCTCGCTATCGCCTCATTGCACCCCGACGCTGGTATGTCCTCACTCAATACCCTCAAAACCAGGGAACTCTTCTCCTCACCACCTTCAACGCTCGATCCGCTTGCGTCACCCCTCCTCCTCTTTCGCGGCTCAGCGTTTCACACGACCGCCTTCCCACGGTCTTGGTCCCCAAGCCTAACACTGCCGGGGGTGATTGATGTGGACTCGGACTCAGACTTTCAGGACTCGATGAGTGAGCTGGACTCAGACTACGACTTTTCGGACTCACCAACCTCACCCAATTCCCCAACCTCAGCACTTCCACCTTCCTCACCACACCCCGACCCCGACACACCAATAGACCTCAACCCCACCCGTCCCCAAAAACGGAGCTACCTCAAGTTCCCCCCCGCACACTCCGGGTTGCGGCTTCCGATGTGCAACTTCCAAATCTCGCACCCGCTTCCTTCACCACCACCATCTAAATCCAGCAAGTCCGCCAGTTCCAAATCCGCAGCGGTACCGCACCCAGACGAACCGCTAGAGGTGGTACAAGCGGAGTTGATGGCGGCGGCGGTGAATCGGTCGGTGAGGATGGGGTATGATACGCCACTTTCTCGGCGGGGAGATGAGGGGGGGGGTGGGGATAAGAGGGCTGTTGTTAGGGAATTGGAGGGGGAGGGCGAGGTGGAGGAGAGGGGAGCGGTTGGGGCGAGGGAGTGGTTGAGGGATACCATGGATTGGCGGTGAGTATGTTGTTTTCTCGGTTTGGGGTTTAGGTCATTGGCGTTAGATGGGATGCGATAGGAGGTTTGGGCGGGGATAGTGGGTGAGATGAGATGCACAATGTGCTATATAAATAGACATATAAACGACTACCTACAAGAACGGCTCAGCCATGCATATCTTGCTGGTCTCGCCTCGTCCGTGGCTGTGGGGAGGGGTGGGGGTGCTGATAGCTGCGAAATGACTGCGAGGATAAATGTAAAGCGACAAGTGAGAATAAATAAATAAGCGGTGACGGCAAGAATCAAGGTAAAACGACAGCAAGAATAAATCCAAATCGACAACAATAAACCCAACCCCACCACCCCTCCTCACATCCACTCACAACCCTCCCTTCCCGTCCGATGTAATCCCACATACGGTCGAATCCTCCTCCTCCTTCCTCTCCTGCCGGGCTCTGTGCACGATCCCGCGGTACGCAATGAGCTGTTAGGGAGGGAGGCATTCTCATCCTTAGCTCTTTGCGGCGTGATGGAATAGTGTTCCTAGGATCTCGGATTTAATTGGAAACGAACGAGATGTAGTTGGAAATGGTGAGGTAGGAAGAGGAGAGAGGGGAGGTGCAAAAAAATATACCAATGGGGTCTTGCCCGAGATCGAATCGGGGACCTCTCGCAAACATTGCTGTAGGGTGGACCCTAAGCGAGAATCATACCACTAGACCACAAGACCCTTTCTATGATCGTCAGGGGTGGTGATTGGCACAGTCATCAATCAAAACTATCACCAAAAATCACAGCTTACACAACACAACACACACGGACGGTCACCACAAAAAAAAAAAAAAAAAAAAAAACACCTTGTCAAAAACACACTTTCTCTACTCCTATCCTGTCCTAATCCCCCAGTTAGTCCATATCCATCCATGTATCCATCGCTAGAATCGCACTCTCAAAAAAACCCTTAAAAAATCTCTCCGTCTCTCATTCATTTACAAAGAGTTAAGTTAGTGTAGTAGTGTGTGCACCAGGTGCAGTTCGTTCATGATATCCATCTCCCCTTTCTTTCTCCTCTTTCCTTCTCTCTATTCTCCCTCATTCACTCACTGCCTATACCCCCCTCCCCCACCACCACCACCTCCGCCACCATAAGCATTATAACCCCCACCAGGCTCCGTCATATTCCTCTCCGGCGGCGGTCTCGCATACTGCTGCTGCTGTCCCACCCCCGCGGACGCACTACGCACCGGCTGCGCATACGACCCCGTCGGCGGCGCGACCCCCATCCCCATCCTCCCCTGCTGCTGCTGTGAGGCATACATATTCCCATTACTGCGATCCGAGGTATCAAACGCCGGTGTGCGTCTCCCCACCGAGCTCTCAATCGACCCTTGGCTGGGTGTCGAGCGTCCGTAGCGGGTTTGTCCGTTCTGTCCCGCTAGTGAGGGTCCAGGACGGGCGTACCCGTCGCCAGCGCCGCGGATGCTTGCGATGGACGGCACGTAGTGACTCGACGGCGTATCACTTCGTGGTGGTGCGACGATGGTAGGTGCATCGAAACTCGGCAACGTCGGTTCATCGTCCATCGCAATGCCACTCCCATGCGTAGCTCTCGTTGGTGAGGCGGTGGAGTACGGGTCATACGAGTCGTGATTCTGACTCTGCTGGTTGTTGCGCTGAGGAGCGTACGGGTCCTGCGACAGTGCCGATGGGGCGGGGGTGTAGTTTTGCCCCGGGCGAGAGGTATAGGAGAGTGGTGAGTCGGTGCGGGTTATGGGTGTGTTGTTGCCCATTGAGCGGTCCATGGGGGAGGCGATGCGGGCGAGTGGTGTGTTACCACCCATTGACCTATCCATTGGGGATCCGACGCGGTCGAAGGGTGTATTGTTGCCCATAGACCTATCCATAGGAGACGCAACGCGGTCAAAGGGCGTCATGTTGCGGCTGGGGGGGTTATACGAGTTATACGAGTCCTCCGTCATCTGTCGTGCAGGTGGTCCAAATCCTCCTCCATTCCCATTACCCATTCCACTCCCATACGAATCCTGCGTCCCCTGCCTCTTCAGCGGCGCCGGTCCACTCCTCAACTGCTGCGGCACCCTCTGCTGCTGCGCCCAACTGCTCCCCTGACTCGCATTCGTCCCTCCCGTCATCGTCCGCTGCGGTGCCGGGAACGGCACCCCATTGCTCCCCTCCTGACCCGGCATCGGCGGCGCGGGCGACCCAGAGCGGCTATACCCCATACCAGCCGCATTAGCGACGAGGCTAGACGACGCGCCGTAGCTGCTTGCTGATGTAGCGGTGTTGAGGCGCGATGGGACGGGCCGCTTTTGGTCCATGTTGCTGAGCTCGAAGTCTGGGAGCTTGGGCTGCAGGGAGGAGGGCGTGCCGGGGCGGGAGGTGTACATGGGGAGGGTTGTTGTGGTGTCGTTGCGGTTGAGCATGGGCATGGTGGGCAGCTTGTCGTCTTTGGTGTCGAAGAGGGTGGGTAGGGTGGCTTGGCGGCCGAGGGTGGGCTTTTCGCCGTTCTTGAAGGCTTTTTGGTTGCCCTTGATGCGCTTGCGTTCCTCGTCTTCGATGGCCTTGTTGATCTTGACGCTGACGATCTTTTGGAGTCGACCGTTAATCTTACGCTCGCAGTAGCCGGATAAGCCGCCGTCGCCGTTGGGGATGTAGTGCCAGAGGAAGAGGAGGTAGAAGAGCATGGCGAGCAGTAGGCTTAGGGCGGCAAAGACCCAGATGACGAGGGTGAAGACCATACCAGACAGGACGACAGCCTGTTTCTTGTCCTGGTCGGCCAGGATACCAAAGTTCTTGAAGAACTGCAGAATCGAGGTCGCAGCGTCCTTGTTCTTGGGGTCGAGCTCAGCAATGTACACAGATCTCAGCGTCAGGGCATTGATGACCTGCCTAGGTCCTGAGCAGAAGATGACGCGGATCCACGACTGGAAGGAGAAGTAGGTGAACAGCGCCACGTACTCGGCACCCTTCTTACTCTTCGTCAGCTCCGAGAAGACCAAGAAGCGCTTCCAGCCACGACCTTGGCCAAAGACGCGAATAGCCTGCAGTCGGACAGCCAGGGAATCGAGGTAACTCTCAGCCACGGCGCCGCGCCTGATGATCAGATGGGCTCGGATGTGCTCGTAGATGACATTGACCCACGACGCAATGATGCATCCGGCAAAGATCCATTTCGAGATGTCTAGCTTGATGACCGGTTCGATGCTGGTGAACTTGTTTAAGGCGATGAGGTTGTAGGCAGTGAAGGTATCGACGCCGTAGACGGCAACGGAGATGACCAGTGATAACCACAGATATCCATATGCTAGGTATTCGAAAAATGACGATGACTTGAAATCCTGGAGACTCTGTATATACCAGTTAGCATGGACACATAGCAACAATTGAGAGGGGACAACTCACGATGAAATCCCACTTCTCCTCCAGCTTAATATCCTTCGCCTTTTTGCGTGCGCACAACATCTTGAATTATGTTCAAAGATTGAAATATCTGGACCAGCCAGAAAGTAAAAATGGGGTATTGAAAATCAAAAGGAGCGATTGACTCGAATGAATGAATGTGCAGCGGGTATCTTGATTCCCGCCGGGGGGGTTTTCGTCGTTGGACGAAGTGGTGGTGCCGACTTCAAGTCAACAATCTGGTCTATCTACAACAAGCGACGAGTCGGTCACAGCACAGAGGTCATCCGCCTGCGGGTCCGACTTGTGCGAGAATAGTGATCCTCGGTGGGATCAAGAGAGTTGTATAGATTCGCTGAACGAGCGTCGTGACAGGAAAATGGGTATGTCCGGGGGAAGCGTCGTCGTGCTGGGGAGGGATCGGGAAAGCCGCGTCTACTGGCGAGGACGCATGGGAGTGAGCCGTCCGTCTCGTTGTTGTTGCAACTGTGGGCGGGTATGAGGAAAGGGAGAGGCGAGATGAGATGGCCAAGTAGTGGTCGCTGGGCGGTTTGTTGGGGCGGTGGGTGATGAGGTCGTTTGATCGAGGTCGTCTTTTTGAGGACTTTGCAGGAGATAGATATAAGCACGAGCGGGGGGATGTGAAAGAGCGACGATATGGGATGAAGGAATGAATGAGGGTATTTTCTCGCTTTGTTTTGGAGCCAGTGGATTCGCAAAAAGGCAGTGAATGAATGATTGTTGCTTGGTATTGTGGTTTGGTAGAAGAAGGGACGACAATGAGGCGTGTCAATGGGGTGTGGATGGGGTACAGGGACAGGGGCAGATACAGGGACAGGGATAGGGATAGGGATAGGGATAGGGACAGGCACAGGCACACAGGCACAGGCACACACAGGCACAGGCACAATGGTAACAGTACATAAATGGGTGTCTGAGGAGTGAATTTTAGTGGGTTTAGTGAACTTTAGCGGACGTGTGGGTGTGAGTAGACGCAGTGGATGCAGATTGACAGGCTGGCGTTGGATTATGCACAATGTAGCTGATCAATCAGGAGAAGTAACTCCCAGCGCTTGGAGGTATGGCGGGGTACATTTGTGTACATCTGATATGTGACGTACAACTTTTCTTCTCTCCCCTGCCACCCCCCAGCCACCACCAGCCACCACCACCAGCCACCCTCCCCCCGTTCCTCCATACAAAAAAGCCGCTCCCTCTAACCCAAACAACCCTTACCCTCAAACCCCTCTCCACTAGCCCCCGATAGCCCCTTCTCCATCCACCCCCACCACACCTCGCCCCACCAGCCCCCCTGAAACACCCCTCTCCACTCCCAGCAAATCAGCGCCAATAAGCACCCCCACCGCCTTGCCATCGTGAAACGTCCACCTCTTCCCCTTGCTGGCCAACCAGCCCTGGTTTGGCGGGGATAAAGATAGACAAGCGCTGAGTGCACATCATCCTGTGATGCGGATAGGCGATTAGAGGACTGGAAGGCTGGCTGCTGACGTCGACGCGCTGTGATGGTGCCGAGCGCGTCTGTTCTGTTATGTCTTCACATGAGACGAGTCGGGAAGTTATCGATGCGACGCAGTAAATTGGAGTCGAGTTGAAATTAGGTCACGTGGTTATAAGGTGACCTGGGTTTTGATCATCACGTGCGATATTGCCCTGCATCTACATATCAAAACTATTGAAACTCGATAAAAGTGAGTGGTAGGTAATTCCGAGACATGTTAAGCAGAGTCTCGGACAACTAGATGGCAAAGATAGCCATCCACCGCTACATTGGATATAATGGAGCCGACCATGCCATTCCCACACACCTTTGTATATATGTATGTATGTCGACCATTCCATCTTCCAACAAGTGATAAAATGAGAAAGTGTCGCTCGGGAGCAAGACTACATTTTGGCAACTGCGAATGAAGCTTATGAAACCTATGCGCATACTTGAGTAGAGCTGAGTACCATCGTGTCGCGAGTGTTCGCGAGTACAATGGCAACGTTCTTTGCGCAGTTGGAGGGGACTTCTGGGATAGACATGCGCCACCGCCAACACCAGCATGCACGCTACCTTTGAGGCTGCACAGCGATTTACCACAACAATATATATATAACGTGGTTTATCAGTACGTTGGACATATCAGTACCTCGGACACTTTTCATTGGCATTCTACTTTGAATATCAATAAATCAACCATAACATATTAAATTAACTATAACTAAGCGGAATCAGATGAACTAGACATATCTATAGCTTCTTGACAAGTTCGCGCATTATGACCAGCTTTTCCACAGATCCCACAGCATCGCCTAGACGGTTGCCCCTCCTTGCGACTACCCCCAACCGCACGTACGTCGCGTCGTACCTGCTCATCCACATCCTTCTGTGTGATAATAGCCTGTGCATCCTCTACTATAAGTGCACCTCCTTCACGGACACGAGCCATTTTAGCCCTGCGGCGTTTGCTAAGGGCTTCGTTGGCTGCTCGAAGGGTACGTACCTCAGCAGACAGAAGGGTGTTCTCATGTGCTAGTCGCTCCGTACCCTTTGCCAATGCAATAACTGTCCCGAAGAGTGGAGTTGGCGAGCTTCCTTGGTGACGGGCAATTCGATTTCGAACGAGGGTTGTTTGTGAAAGAGCTTCAGTTGGGTTGGAAGGGGTCTGGGAGACCCAAGGGTTGGTGTTGGCAGTAGAGGGTCTAGAGGGAGTTGGAGTCCGTAACCTCACGTCAAGCTTTGAAAGCACTGCTTGCGGGTCGAAAGGCACTAAGCCAGCTCCACGGAACCCGGACTGGGCGTTTTGGGCTGTCATGGATTCCAGATATGCTGCTCTAAAGGCAAGAAAGAACTCGACCTTGGTAATGTGGTTGATATGAGCCTTAATGAAGGTCTCAATCTGCCGACCATATGCCCGCTTCAACACACTAAAGCACCCGACATCAAGTGGCTGAGTTAAATGAGACGAGTGGGGAGGTAGTCCAAGAGTTATAATGTTGTGTGCCTTGCAGTACTCTTGGAACTCGGCCGATTCATGACTCTCGTGCCCGTCTAACACCAGCATTCGATATGGACCCCTTGCACGAACAGCAGTATGTTTGTCGAAGTGTTTCAACCATTCTAGACCCGTCTCATTGTTTGTCCATCCATTGCTTGTCGGTTTAACAACCCAGTTGTGTGGAAGGCCGCCGTCTGTATACCAATTTGCAAGATGATTCTTGCCTTTAACTACCAAAAATGGAGGAATACTCCAGCCGTCACTGTTGATACAAGCAATCGCTGTAGCCCATTCCCGATTCCCTGGCTGAACTGCCTTACCTCTGCCAAGTCGATCTGCACGGGTAACAACCATTGCAGGGCAAATCACACCCATCATAAACCCAGTTTCGTCAAAGTTATAGAAGTCGCAGTCCAAAACACCATATTTTGCCCTCATATTTTCCACTAGTCGAAACCACGCGCCAATTAGTTCAGGATCTTCGCACAAGGCCCTTTGGAAGTCGTAAACGCGATTAAAACGCGTCTTTAATTCTGGACGTCGTTGTACAAATCGGTGGGCCCAGAGCTTCCCGACGCGCCTCCCTCCACGCGATTCGAGTATAAAATTTGCCATATCTTCTACACCAGCAAGCCGGGGTGCAAATCCTCTTGAATCCATATCAAGTATATTCCGAATAACCACCTCCTCTTCTAGTATAGTTAATTTCATCATTGCAGGCCGGCGTTCGTAGACAGTAGTTCGGCCGTTCATTCTGTCGCAGAGTGTAGAATGAGGTACTTCATAGAGCTTAGCAGCCTTCCGACGACTTAGATTTTTTGATGTTCGGATAGCCTCGATAGCTAGAATGATTTTTGCTTCTTGGGTAATCACTGACATAATAAAAGGTGGAAAAAACGCGTTGTGAAGTTAGAGGGTAGGAAATTCGGGAAAAGTGTCCGAGGTACTGATATGTCCGACATACTGATAAACCACGTTATATATATATATATATTAGGATAAATTACGAGAATGAAAAGCGAGCTCGAATCTTGAAACGTATCAGACTCTAAAAAACTCATACTAGCGTAAAGGCCGATCTACCGACAGCACCGCTGATAATATAATCGCCATACGATCGAGAGGTTCTCCTCAAATTCAGATCCTAGAAGCATTCGAGATATAAGTTCATACCTTTGAGATACCATCTACACTTCTACAACTTCAGAGATCCCACACTCAAGGCTTTACTCTGGCAAATTCAGTCTTGCTTCGACCTTGAGGTAATGATGCCATTGTCTATCTATACTCATTCTAGCCTATACTGATCTTATAACAGTGGACTTCTGTGTTTTGAGGGCATTCCTAGCCCTGCCTTTACGCCTAGCATGACAACCCTCTGGCCATGTGTCAACAAGTATACGTTTTAGGCGTTTATATTCACAAAACAGGGTGGATGTATACGCACACACCTGATAACCAAGTCATCGGTAAATGGTTCGTTCCTCATCTACTTCGTCATTAACTATTCTACAATAACATCATTTAAGGTATAAAACTATGGAACAAATCTCCCTTCATAAACAATACCTATACCAATCCCTGGACAACTTTTGTATCTGTCCTCCGTACAATCCCTCCCTCGCGCCTTCCCCCATTCTCCTCAATATCATGCCGGTCCTCGGCCCACCCGTGACCCTGCTCTGGCTTCACCACCCCATCCTCCATCATGATGTAAACCGAGTTCTCTGACAGGTCGCTGGCTACGAGGTGCTCAGCGCCTCTATTCGAGGAAGAATTGATGTAGTCGTGGTGATCTGGCGGATAGGGGGAGGTCCGCGAGTGCCAGCGGTAGGCAGGAAAGAGCCCACGGATTGTGGGGAGACAGGAACAAATAAGGCCCACTGAGGGCTCTATATGTGTCCAGAGGGTGGCCCGGTAGACGGTATCTGGAGTTTATGGCGGTTAGCTAGTGGGCTATTGAGAGCATCTCTCCAGCGGCAATAACTTACGAGTTGGGTCTTGGGGGTCAATATAGAACAAAACAACAATGCGGTAAATACTCGCAAAGCAAACACTGTACCATGGATCAGCTCATTTCTTTATCTCGTTAGCCATGGGATACTCACAATCCACCAAGAGCAAAGATCCCGCTCAACGCCACCTTATCCTGCCATGCCCTCTTCAGGTTAAAGATGATCGGCAGCGGTAGCGCCAAGATGACAAAATCCATAACTACATTAAAGCCCTGATTCACAATAAAGAAAACATTTCCATTGATGCAATGCGCCTCGATGCTCTTATCCCAGTAACCCCGAAGTGGCCGACACTGCAAGGCGCAGATGAGGAATATGCCAGCGCCCCAAATACCGATGATACAGATGAAGGTGCAGGAGACCACGTTGAAGCGGTGAGAAGTAAAGAAGATGCGGCGATAGAAGCTAATGAAGGAGATTTTGAGAATGGGGACGAGAACAAAGTACGTGAATTGGTTGGCGATGAAGATCTGGGCCGGTTAGAGCACTGCCATGAGCCTTTGGAAACGGAGACGCGCCTTGCCAAAAGTCAATAGAGTTTCGGGAGAGAGATCTTTTATATGAGTGCCATTTCCGCCAATGGCAACCCCTTTATTAAAAAAATATTAGCTCCAGTGTCCTGCAATTCGCGAAGTGCACACCCACAGAGAATTAATTGTATTAGCATGCCATATAGTAAAAACAGTGCCGTAAAGCAGAGATAGTCGTCCGCCTCAATCCTGACGCGAAGCTTGTACCGGGCGTATAGGCGCAAGATGGCAGAAATGGTGGCGAGACCGACTAGCACCGAGACAATAATGATCATCTTCCACTCCCTCTCGCTGATCGCCATGGTGGTGGCAACTGGAGAGAACTCTCAAACAACTAGAGGATAGATGGCTGGCGCCAGGGCCCTGGTGAGAACCGGCAGTGGGGATTGTCATATATGGGTGCAGCGGCAGCGAGGAATGGTGGAGGCGGGCGGATGCGCTGTAGATGGGGAGAGCTGGATTACTCGCTCATGGGTCGGGAGGATCGTCGAGTATCGCTGTGAAGCCGATACGATGGGGGCACGGCATTGTTTGATGTGGGACGCAAGGGAGTTGGTTTGTTGTAGACACGACATCTCAGCCCTCGTTTGGCACTTTCGCCGCCAACAAAGTATGGTTGTACCGATTCTGGAGTCGCACACGGCGGTAAGGCTTTCTGGGATTTTCCTGCATTTTGATTGCATATTCTTGCATATAGATGTATTTTTTCATGTATAAAGTAAGCAAGGTGACCCAACAAATGCAAGGTGGCATGAAATGATTGACGATATTATCATCGGTGTGAGTGCACGAGGATCATCCTTTGTATTCCCTTTCTATGTCTCCGGGCCGAATATGAACTTAAAGCACCCGACCAAGTCAACGGCCATCAATTATCCAAACCTTGGCAGGACAATAAATATATATTCTAGAGCAAGATGGCGTCGCTCCCACTTGAATACCCTGAGATATATCCCTACACACCAGCACCCTTGATTTTCACCTTGCAGGTATAAAACCCGTGCCGACCATTGAGAGCGCCATGGCTGAATAAGTCCGCCATCCTAGTGAAACACATAGCAATTACAAACGGCACAATACAAGCCGAGAAAAGTAGAAATCGGGCGTCTCCCTCTTCCAAATTGTAGTTACTAAGATGTTAAAACTGTGGCGCCCTTGAACAACAAAGGGGGACGCGTAGGTGAGAAAGACTAAGATGTTTACAATCATCACACCACCACCACCACCCACAAACCACCCACAACCCCTTCTTTTAAAACTTCAAACTTTTAATTCCGTTCCTCTTCCACACTTCAATTCACAACTCCAGCTTTCGGCTTCAACTTTTCTGCAGTTTGCTTCACACATTCTGCTTCTCGCATTCCACATCTCGCTTTCTCCTGCCTACATCTTGTCCCCCTCCAGCTTCCTGTCGATCCCCCAATCTCAGCCGTATTTGTTCATCAAGTACTACAATCATGTCTGTACCCCCATCAGCTGAGGCATCTGGCCCAGATGGCATTTTCACCAGATCATCCACGGTCACCCCTACGCTCACCCCCACCGTCACCCCGCCGGGCATGGCCACTGCTGCCCCCAAGACGATGATGACTAGGAACTACGACGCTCCTATTATTCTTATCCCTCAACCAAGTGATGACGCCAACGACCCATTAGTAAGTTCTAGATCGATCACTGATTTGAAACACGTTACCGAGCAGCGGGTTTGAATTCTGACCTTCGATCTACAGAACTGGAGCATCACCAAGAAGATCATTATCTTCGCATGCATCTGCTTCGCGGGCTTTGCCGGCCAGATGTCCCCCAATTCTAACCAGCTGACCTTCGTCCTGCAAATCCCTAACTATGTCGGTAGGACCCAGGCCGACATGCTCAACACCGTCGCAGCCGCTCTCGCCGGCTGGATGCTGGGCCCCTTCATCCTGGTCCCCTGGGCTGCCCTTGTAGGCCGCAGCTCCGTCATTTTCTGGAGTTTGATTGGAACCCTAGCCTGCCAGATCTGGGCGGCTAAAATGACCGGTCCCAATGATTTTATCCCATTCGCCATCTCCCGCGCGTTCTGCGGCGTGTTTGGTGTCATCCCCGCTACCCTCGGCACAGGCTATATCATGGACATGTTCTTCCTGCACCAGCGCGGAAAGGCCTTCGCGATCTTTGAGGTGCTGATTATTTTTGCCGTTGTGGGCGGCGGTACCCTCGGTGGTTTCATTGCTGAGTATGGTCCTTGGAGCGAGGTGTTCTGGTGGACTGTCGGACCCGTTGGTGCTGCTGCCATTGCCGTCTTTGTCTTTGTCGAGGATACAACTTTCACTCGCGGTCCGAATGCCGTTCAGCGCCCTCCACTGCCAAAAGCCTGGCTCGCCAACCGCGTTGCTACCTTCTTCCCTGGCATCAAGACTCAGGCAGGTACCCTTGATAAACGCGCAGCTGTGTTTGTAAGTTTCCCTCGAAATGCACTCCAATCCCACAAACAATCATGCTAACAAGCCCCCCCCCCCCAAAAGCGCCGCTTCATCGTCCCCCTCCAAATCACCATAACCCCTATCACCCTCCTCATCGGCACCTTCGTCTTCGTCGCCCTCGGCCTCCCCATCATGCAAGCCTCCACCATCGCGATCTACCTGATGCCTCCCGTCTCCGCGGGCGGCTACGGCTTCTCCGCCCTCCAACTCGCCTTCTTCACCATGACCGCGTGGGCCGGCATAATCAGCGCCCAGCTCTACGGCTACCTCTCCAACGACCGCATCCCGCTCACCGTCGCGCGTCGGGTCAGCGGAATCTGGCGCCCCGAGTACCGCCTAGCCAACACGCTGCTTCCCGGTTTCCTGCTCCCGATCGGCCTTGCTATCTACGGCGCGGGTCTGCAGTTGCACCTCCACTACATGGTATTGGCACTCGCGAGTTTCGTGATCTGGTTCGCGGCTCTGTTGGCGCTGCCGGTTTGCTATAATTACATTGTTGAGTGCTTCGTGCAGACACCTGTTGAGGCGTCAGTGGCGCTGAACTCGTACCGCATTGCGTTTGGGCTGATGTCGGTGTTTATCATCACGCAGTGGCAGGGCGCGGTTGGTGTGGGATGGATGTGGGGCATGGGTTCTCTGTTTGTCCTGTTGGTGGATGGACTGATGGTGATTGTGTTGCTCAAGGGACATGAGGTCAGGAAGTACACGAGCCGTATTAGCAGCACGATTGCTGTTACGGAGGATGGCCAGAAAATCATTGAGCAGCCACGTATCATTTATATGGCGGATGTGGAGAGGGAACTCCGCTCTGTTAGGATGAGAAGCTGCTGATTTGCTGTTTCAGTGGACCTGGATAAGGTGTGAGGAAGGAAAACAACAGGGGATTGGGTATAAAGTGGTGGCTAGACTAGAGGAGTCTATAGCCATGTACTCAGCACAGAACATTACTGCATTGCCGAAGGGTAACTCATTTGTAGCTCTCTGGGTTCTTACAGTCACATAAGCACATTAGAAATCAAGATGCATCGCCAGAATAATGTTCGTTGATCCTCAATTGCACTAAAATATGACATTTCAGGGACCCGGAGCTATCATAGTGCTCCCGCTCCCGCTCCCGCACGAACTAAAACTAGCATCTGCAAAGATCGTGATGTGGGGCGAGCCAATCGATCCATATACCCTTCGACACAGGTACAATAACGTGTTGTAGTATCAGCGACTCGCATCCACGACCACCTAGTCCTTCCACGTCACAGTCTTAGTAACAAGGAACTCTTCAATTCCTTGCTTTTCATTGAAGCGTCCCCACCCGCTATTCTTCACCCCGCCAAATGGAAGTACAACCTCGTCATGAACTGTCATGCTGTTGATATGCACAGCCCTATAAGACATAGTCAGTATCGATGTGACCCCTTGCTCCAATTCCAGAAAAACGAAGATTGCAGGTGACTCACCCAGACTCGATCTGCTTTGCCAACTTAAATCCCTTGCGTAGATCTTCAGTGAATATCGCGGCCGAGAGCCCGTAGCCGCCCTGATTCGCGATCCTAACAGCATCAGCGTCGGAATTAACAACCCTGATAGCGGCGAGGGACGCAAAGGCCTCATCTTGCCAAAGGGCTGACTTTTCCTCGACATCACCGATGAAGATCGGTGCCATGCGAACCGACGTGGCGCTTGTAGATGGGGAACTATCGATATCGACCAAGCCGTGGATAAGATAGGCACCCGAGGCAAGGGCATCGGTGATCATCCCTTGAACGCGGGTCTTTGATGCAGTGGACACCAGTGTTGGTGGCTCGGAGGACTGGTTAGCGCTTGCCTCGAGGGCACTTTTAATTGCACCTATAAACGTTGGCGCGATGGCGGAGTGGACGAGAATTCGGTCGGTCGACATGCAGATTTGGCCAGACTACTCCATTATCAGTAAACACATTATATAGATGTCATTGGAGTCTCACATTGATGAGTGTTCCTGCCAGTACTTCCCGCACTGCCACCTCAATATTCGCATCTTCGCATACGATCGCGCTATTCTTGCCTCCAAGCTCCATCAGGCAGGGCTTAAGATTCTCTCCGCATGTCCTCGCAATTTTTCGGCCCGTAGCTGTGCTGCCTGTGAAGTTTATCTTTCGGACGGCTGGATGCTCGATCATAGTATTTACGACCTCGGGGGCGTCTTGGGGTCGGCAATTTAAGATATTGAGGCATCCTGGTGGTAGACCTGCGTCGGTAAATGCACGGCCGATAGCCCAGTAGCATCGGGGGGTAAGATCGGACGACTTGAGGATGGTGGTATTACCACCTGCAAGTGCGCCGGCGGCGGCGCGGATCCCAAAGACGTATGGCGCATTCCTGTTTGATCAGCAATTACTTCTCCAGAGCAGTATTTAGATGCTGGACATACCATGGCACGATGCCGAGAATGACACCCATCGGCTCCTTATGAACAATGGCACTCTGTCCCTCCTCTTCAACAACTGGCACGCTTCCACAAATCGACGTGATACGTCCTGCAAGATCGCGCAGCATACGAATACCAAACGGGGCGATGAAGAACTGCGATGTTCCCACATCAGCGCCCATCTCCGTGCGCATGATTTCTGAGATTTCCTTGAGGCGGCTTTCAAGGATATCAGCTGTGCGGAGGAGGATGTCGCGGCGCACGGTAGGCTTGGTAGCCGACCAGGCTGGGAAGGCAGCTGAAGCTGCTTCGACGGCACGCAAGGCGTCCGAGGGGGTTGCAGCGGTTGCATTCCAGCAGGGAGTGTTGGTGTAGGGGCTTATCACCGCGAACGTGGAGGTGCTGGTTTCTTCGATGCCATTGATCAGAGAGGGGACTGTGATGGATGGAGGCGCAGCGCTTGCGGTTTTGCGCGTGGCAGTTGGGGTGATGTCGTCGGCTTCTTCTTTGGTGGCTGAGGAGACACCAATGCGAAGTGGCTCGTTGACTTCAACCTGGCTGGTTACCTCCTCAGCGCCTGAAGAAGCACCATTCTCTTTGTTGTCCATGATTGCAGATTGAATTCACTCTTTCCAGTCAACTCAGAGATGAGAATTGCTGCCTCCTCGGGTCTGTCTTCTGGATATTTTTCTAATGGTGGTAATAACAGTAGACAGCAGCCTGCTTATTCCACAACAAGGCTACAACGAGGCAGGCACAATCGGGTAGCGACGTATAGTCGGGATACACTTACTCGTTTGCTGTTGCACAAATATCGGATTCCTTAAGTACTAAATAGTTCATCACATGCACAGAATCGGTTCGTTGCATTCTACGAACGATTCAAGATTCTCGTTCGCACGATTTCTTGTGGTTGTTTGTTGTGGCATCCTGGTTGTCGAAGAGTAGGGGATGGAATGGATTGGAAATTCGGGGGGCGACAAATAATTTAACCAGTAGGATCGCCAGGCCAGGGTAGCTCATACTTGGCATTTATTATATCTCCAGAGGGAGGATTACTTTCTTCCATAATATATCAACGAGGTAACTTATAGATTTTAAGTGGGTATTATCAGACTTCTATTATACCAAACATCTAACTTCGAAGTAAGCGTTGCAAGTAAGCCAACTGTAAGCCAGGCGTCCACTGACAGCCCAGGTGACGCATTTTCTGACGGGACGAGTAACTACGCCGCGATGATAAACCTCACGTCTGACTGCATGTTGGAGGAGCATGTCGGAAACATAGCCATACTTGGGCATATTTACTCAAATCCCATACCGTGTCACGGTAAGCTGGCAGCACAAACCAGATAACAGAAGAGAACATTTGGATTTATACACGTCGCTGCCAAGCGTGACTGTGATAAAGATTCTAAGGAGCAACTACAGCATTGGAAAGCGACGCTTCTAGTCCTACTTAGTAGCCCCTCTCGACAGCGTTATAACAATTAGGTTATTGGCACAGAAGTAGTAGTATTAGCTCACGGACAACGTCAAGAGCTTAACGTCTCAATTCTATAACGGCAGGTTAACGAGCATAAAAATAGGGGGCGTAGTAGCCGCACACGCCTACAAATTGGAGGAGCTCTTACTGTAGAGGATGTGCGAGCTCAACAGGCTAAAAAGGCAGAGCGAGCAGCAGAGAAAGAGGCTTCTAAAGAAGCCCTGATAGCCCATTAGGCTACTAACCAGGCCCGCAAACAGCTCTATAGGGCAGGAGTTGAAGCCCGGAAGCAAGAACGCCTCCGGAAGAAGAGGGTAAAAGCCTGTCAAAAAGCTGGCAATCCAATTCCTATAGAGGGCCAAAACCCAATTCCGGATCCAGAGGCAGAGATCGAAAGTGAGAGTAGGAGTGGGAGTGGGAGCGAGCACGAATTTGAGTGGCATGGATATGAGAATTACGAGTACAGTAGGACCCCTGTTATAGCGATCTCCTATTAGCCGGTATTTCCTATATAGCGATAATTTTGAGGCTACGCTGGCTTTTTATATGTAATTTTTGACTCTTTTACAATACTACGATATCGTTCCGTAATAATGTAATAAAATCGTTATATTTTGTATGTGTAAAATGGCTCGGCAGGGTATTACAATTGAGCACCGCGTGCCTTACGTCGATGGGCCCATCGACAGCACCCTAAGCCTACGTAGAAAGCCTGTATACAGTGGTTCTAGGAGAAGTACGGCCATAAAGTAAGCTAGTCTACTATTTCTGAGTCCTTAAGCGCTACTTTTGAGAGGCTAGATACTGAAGCTGAAGCTATATCGACGTCTGCCCTTCGTATCCGTTCCGGCTTTGCCTGAGCTCGAAGAGGTCCTTTGGCATTGGCAGCTTCGAGTTGAAGCAAAAGGGGCATTTGATATAGGCGAAATCCTTCGAGAAAAGGCTTGAGAAGTCTAGCATCAACTCCCTTATTATAGGGAGAAACCCGAGCTAGAATTTAGTACTTGGTAGCTCGAAAAATTCAAGAAACGGCATGGTATTCGAGCACGATTTCAACACAGCGAAGCAGGGTCAATTCCTAATGTAGAGGAAGTGATGGAAGGGCTACGGCTTATTACAAAGCAATATGAAGAGAAGGATATATATAACATGGCTGAAACTGGATTATTCTAGAATATAAGACCCTCGAGAGGTCCTCCTTTCTTAGAGTATTCTATGTTAAGAAGGATAAAGCATGAATAACTGTTATTTTATATATGAATGTAACAGGAGAAGACCGAATTCAACCTTGGTTTATTAGAAAAGCTAAAAAGCCACGAGCTTTATAAGGAATCAATATCTGAGGAATATGAGGCATATAGAAGCATAATTCGAAAGCTTGGAATACAACAATCGTTATGGTTAAATGGCTTCATTCTATCGCCATATATGGGGACGACAGGTTCTTCTTACAATGGATAATTTCAGTGCTTATATTACGGGACTTAAATTACACCCTCCTCCTTTGAATATTCGAATCAAATGGCTTTCTCTAAATTCAACAAGCCGTACGCAACCTTTATGTCATACTGACATTCGTTGCACTCAGTTTACTCAAGAGCAAACTTAGAAATCTCCTCCTCAAACCTACAAGTCACTATACATATTTTGGCTTGTCACACCAACAACAAGAGCAACTACTCAACGATTGCTACAACTCTCTATGATTCATTACATATCATTGCTCCTTAGTTACTGGGCCGATATGACCACATAGCATATCTCTACAACCCTCTATGATTCATTACATAACATCACTCCTTAGTTACTGGGCTAATACTACACATGACATATCTCTATCCACTAGAGGCCTAGGAACATGAACGATAGCTCCAAAAGCTTCTACAACCCTCTATGATTCATTACACATCATCGCTCCTTAGTTACCCACAAGATTGGTTAAGTTATGACATAATTTGTCTATAGGGGTACTCTGACCTTGGACCTCCTTTCACTTCCTATAGGCTAGGAACCTAGGAGATGGTTCTATGGGATTCTCTTATGTCGACTACAGTTACCAAGCCTGGTTAGTCATGGAAAGTCTTGGAAAATGAGAGAACTACACTCCTTTAGCATAAATAGGATTGCCCTTTCCTTAAAGAAAGGGCAAGCAGATAATACAGTAAATTGACTATCACATACTTCCACGTCTTTTCCAAGCTTCCAAGCATTGATCTTGTTACTCCTTGTTTCTGAAAAGTCAGTGAGGTGCTAACCTCTGACTTATCCCTGAGTTCTCAGACTCAACATTTGTTACAACTTGTCTAAACCACTCCACTATATCATACACCTGATTGCTGCGTTGTGGAATAGTCTAAGCTATGACCCTTTGGCTCTTTTTCTAAGACAGTGTGTTGTCTTAGTAAAATCATCCCTTCCTTGGGTGGCTAGATTCTCACATCTGGTGCACCCACCATTACACTTTAGATCAAGGGATTATTTAGAATTTCAAGGTCTATTACTAGCAGCAACAGCTTCTCATAATGCTCTCTTCTTTCAATAAACAAGAAGATCTATATTTAATTATTATTCTTCGACATGCAATTCGATGGGCCCTCTAAGATTATAATACAGATATTACGAATCAAACGATACATAACTGTGTTGCAGGAATCGGGGTTCAGAGCCACGGGAGCCACTGGCGTGGCACCTCCCACATATATATAGTTCTCAGTAGTTGTAACCTATATACTTCAACTAATCAACAACTTGTCTACCACCAAACACTTCCAATGACCTCCAGTGAGTATGTGTTACAGGTTATGAGCCCGGAAGCCTATTGTTAAGGTATTTACAAGATCAGAATTATCATTGAGTGTTGATTTGTGCAGTCCAATTCACCAATCCGTCAACAGACTCGCTGAAGTCAGTGTTTTCGTTACAGCACCACAACCTCAACCTCAAACAGTTTTGAAGTACGGTGAAGAGGATTGTGGCTCTCTTTCTTTGAGTTATATCCACACTGTTTATTTCACTTTATGTCCTCTGCGCTCGAGCCAGAAGGACTTTCCGAGATCTTTGAAGACGCGACAGATCAACTTGCAACTTCATCTCAAACTGAATTTCGAACACGACTGCGACTACACCAATAGCCAATATGTCTTCTACAACTATGGTGAGTCTGAATACGACTTTGCTGCATCTTCCAGAGCATTTGAAGCTCAAGGGTGAAGAGAATTACACCAACTGGAAGGAACTTATCGTCAACATCGCCCGAGGCAACGGACTGGCGAAATACATCAACGATAGATGCAAGAGGCCAGAATACATCGATGAATTCCATGAGGACTACGATGAGGCCAAAGATGGAGACAAGCTCAGGAAGTATGAAGCTTGGGAGAAGGGCGACGCTCAGATGCAGCTCGCGATCCAATATAACTGCAAGACGATTCCAGGAAAAGTGGCGTCTGCAAAGGACACAGCGCTTAAGATGTGGAGAGCCCTACAACAGCAATACGAAGGCTCAGGTTCAGTCCTGAAGTACAATGCAATTCAGGATTATGTTCACCTCAAGTACGAGAATTTCTCTTCGCTTGACACGTTTATTATCGCTGTCCGTGAAGCTATCGACAAACTTGAGAGTCTACAATGCCCTCCTCATGATGATTGGCTTCCTGTTATGTTTATAGCTTCTTGTGCGAACAAGTGGCCAACTTGGGCAGAACGCCAAAGATCACTCCTTCGGTCTCCAGATCACCGCATCACTCTCGACTCTCTTATTAACTCCTACAGGCTCGAATGCCTTGTACGGAAACAAATCTCAAGGAACGGGTAAGGGCAAAAACCCAAGCAAGGACAAGAAGAATGGAGATCGACCATCTTGCCCACATTGCACAATGCTGAAACCTCGACACTCACCTCAAGACTGCCTCGAAAATAACAAGGAGAAGCGTGATGAGTGGGAGCGGAAGAATGGGAAGAAATGGACCCCATATCGGAAGCATATTGAGAAAAAGAAAAATGAAACCAAAGATGAGGGCAATGACTCTAAGAACTATTTCGACCTCGTAGCTTTCTCAATGCCTGCCAAATCGAACACTATAAGCAGAGATTAGGTGGTTATTCGATACAGGAGCAGATGAGCACATTGCAAACAGTCTTGAGAAGTTGACACTTACGAAGAGCGCATGGATTTACCATTCATGAATACAGCAAATGGACTTGTTCGTTCTCAAGGCTGTGACTCAGTTCGACTTTTTGGAGTAAAGGGAAACAGAGAGAAGACCCAAATTACCCTCCATCATGTCATCTATATGCCTTCCTCGCCAGTTTGCCTGTTTAGCGGAAAGAAGCTTTATAGCAGCAGAGGTCATGTACAGAATGGCCAGCTTCTCGATAAGCATGGCAATGAGATGGGCACAGTTGACTCAGATCTGTTCCTTTACGAATTCAAAATGGAAGCAAAGGAATCACTTATCCCGCCCTTGATTTTACCTGCTGCGATTGAGCAGAAGAACACAGACATTGAACTTTGGCATCGACGCCTCTGTCATCTTGGACTCGATAACGTCCGCAAGACTAAAGACATGGTAAATGGGATCTCATATAGCAAAGAAGGCACTGCCATTGTGACGAGGTTGTGCCAACCATGCGAAGAGGCAAAGCCAATCCGTTGAGTGAACAAAATTTCAGCTCGACTAAGACCGAAAACAGCTCTTGAAGAAGTTCATTGTGATGTTGTTACTGTCACGCCTCACGGACTCCACGGAGAGAAGTATGGCATACTGTTTACTTGTGGAAAGTACAGTGTCCGCTATGGATGGACCTTTAAGAATAAGGGTGATGCGTACAAATGCATTGTCTGGATGATTCGACTTGCAAAGACGCAATACAACATCACAATTAAGAGATTCAGAATGGATGGAGGAAAGGAATATGCTCCTGCTTCATCTCGAAATGCCATGTATGCAGAGGAAGAACAGGAATATCAAGATGAAGATTTCCAAAATGCATTTTTCACAGGCACAGAATACAACTCAGATCCGCAAACCATGGAAGAAGCACTCGCTCGATCTGATGGAGATCTCTGGCGTGAGGACATTGCCTCTGAATATCGATCCATTACTCGTAAGAAAGTGTGGAAAGTCATGCAATAAAAGCAAAGTTCCAAAAGGGAAAAAGGTCCTTGGTGGACACCTTGTTTTGCGCACTAAAAGAGATAGAGATGGCAAAATCCTTCGCCGCAAGGCTCGATGGGTTGTAAAGGGCTATGAGCAGAGATATGGAAAGGATTATGAGCAGACCTTTGCAGGAGTTTGCAAATCAGCCACATGGAAAATCGCCGTTGCCCTCGCTGCACGTTTCGATCTTGAGATTGAACAGATGGATGTTGACACTGCATTCCTTGAAAATGATATCGATGCAGAGGTATATGTCGAATTGCCTCCTGGATGGTGTGAGAATGGTGTCAAGCTTTCAAAGGAGGATGTGTGCAAGCTATCACGCGCGCTTTACAGTCTCAAGCAGTCACCACGTCTCTGGCAGAAAAAGCTTCGCAAAGCACTCCAATCTCTTGGATTTGAACCACTTGAAACAGACCAATGCATCTTCATCAACAAGGACACAAAGATCATCATTGTCACTTATGTTGATGACTGCCTCATTATTGGCAAAGATAACGAGGACTTAAGTAAGTTGAAATATGAGTTGCACAAAGTTCACAATTGAAGAACTCAGTCCTGCACAATACTTCCTTGGAGTCTGCATTCATCGAGATAGAAAGAAGCGAGAGATCTACCTTGGACAGGATGCATATACTCAAAAGATCCTCAGCTGTTTTGGAATGACGAATTGCCACATGGTGAAGACGCCTTGTGCCCAAGGATGGGAAATTCTCATGACTCCGTACAAAGACAAAGCTACAGCTCACGAAATCAAGCTGTAACTCACAACGGAAATCATCGGCGACAACCAAGGAGCTCTTGCACTTGCAGAGAATCCAGAGTTTCATCAGCGAACGAAGCACCGACATCAAATACCACTACATCCGAAATCAAGTGAAGGAAAACCTTGTTGATCTATATTATGTGTATACGAAGGAGATGGCTGCAGATGGACTGACGAAGCCACTATCAACGATGGATCATCAGAGATTCATTGAGCTGATTAAGCTTAAACAGCTTCCAAAGATGGACTGATTATAGGTTACGGATGAAGAACTAGGGGTGCTACTAACTGTTGATATGTTTTCTACAATATCACCAGAGGGGTGTGTTGCAGGAATCGGGGTTCAGAGCCACGGGAGAAAATGGTGTGGCACCAACCCACATATATATAGTTCTCAGTAGTTGTAACCTATATACTTCAACTAATCAACAACTTGTCTACCACCAACACTCTTACCCAGTCTCCTTATCAATTGCTGGAGGAAGGTTCTTGAGGAAGTCGGGGTCCGTATTCACTTTGTTCATAAGCTTCAGAGTTGACTTGTATGCCGTCGACCATTTATGGCGCCAAATGGTGAAGGCAAGCTCCTCCGCTCTCTGTGTCTATATTAGTAGTAGTCCCCTAATAGTGTAGCTGATCATACCTTGGTTGAGGCTTCAGTCTGGGTCTCCACTTCCAGCTGGACCTTCTCAATCTCATTGATCCCAATACCATTGGCCAATTTGTCAGCTCTCCACACAGCTTCCTGGACAACTTCATCGGCCTCATCTTCGGTTTCCCAAGCCTGGTTGTTGTCATCCCAAACCGCGTATGCTCCTCCACCTTCTCCAATCCCAAGGTGTTGCTGAACGATAGAAGCATGGTTACCATCCTGAATGCTGTTTCCTAGTTACTATAATGATTACTATAAAGTAGGAGGAGGGAGCTTACCGTCTGAGTCGCACTTCGTCCTTCTTGGATTGAATCTTCTCTTCTTGTTCCACTGGGCCAAGGTCTTTGAAAGCTTGCATGTCCCGGAGTTTCTTGACAGCATATGCAGTAGCTGATATATCAGCCCTCTTGGCATTGTCGACCTTGAGTTCTTGATCTGTCATGTTGTTGCGTCGGTTTTGCACTCGCTTGGTGTTCTGGTTGGTTGACTTCTCAGTCGGATCTTTGCACTTTCCAACCATGGTGATTACTATAATGGTTACTATAAAGTAACCGTAAGTGGGAGGAAAGACTTACCATGGTAGTAGTGGAAGGTAAACGGAAAAAGGCGACGGTGGTGGTAGAAGGAAGAAGTTCTGAGGTGGTGGCAGAAGGAAGAAGTTCCGAGATGGTGGCAGAAGTTCAGAAGTTCAGAAGTTCAGAACTTCAGAGAATTCACTTAATATGCCTATTACCATATAATGGGTGAAGCTCAGGATATTTCGCTAACCGAACTTTATTTGGGTGGCAACACCTACCAAATAACAATAACCTCACTTTACCTCAATTCCTACTTTTACTTCTCCTCATACCTCTCTAACCCAACCATGTGATTTGCTGCTGGTTATTTGGTAAGCTCCCTTCTCTTACTCTATAGTAATCACTATAGTAACCAAGAAACAGCAGAATGGAGGATAACAGCTCAGAGTTCAACCTAGGCACAGACTCTACCAGTTCAAGTTCAAGTTCAAGTTCTCCACAACGTCAGCACACCCCTGATCCTTCCCCAATTCGCCGTGGTCACAATCTACAAGAACACCAACCTTTGCTCAACCAGAGACATTAAAGCCAGAGACTTCAGCTCCAAGCCCCCCAACGCACAACCAGAGAAGAGGAAGAAGAAGAAAGGCCCAATCCCTTCATTCTTCCCAAGTCAAAAGTTTGGTCCAAAAGAAGCACCCAAGATGCCTTCCGAAAAGCCCCACAGAAAGCACCCACAAACACTGCAGTCAACGCAGAAGCCAAAGTGTTGCTGGAAGTCTGGAGGTAAGCTGATTACTATAATGATTACTATAGACCTTCCTACTAACCTAGAACAGTCGTTGCACTTCGTCAGATCAAGAGATACCAAAAATTGATGGAGCCCCTCATCCCACGTGCGCCTTTCATCCGACTTATCCGTGAAGACCTCAAGGTGGATTTTCGACTCCAATCATCTGCAGTCTCTGTGCTACAGGAAGCAGCTGAGATGACACTGGTCAAGGAGTTCGAGAGTAAGTGAACCTACACCTCTATAATAATCATTATAGTAACCAAACCAGTGACACAGCTTGCGGCAATTTATGCGAAGCGGGTTATGATCCAGCAGAAGGATATGAAATTAGTCCAGGCTATGTGTCTTCACATGACTGGGTTCGCATTTCCAGGCATGAAGGAATGAGCAAAGTAGATAGATGGTAGAAACTCAATGAAACTGTTCTACTGAAGCTAACGTCCTCCACAAGCGAGTGTCGCATACAAGTGAGTGTCGCACGCAATTGACAGATCGTAACAAACTTTCTAACAACAACAACTATAAACTAGAAAATCAATTAAATTAATTATACACCTATTCTATAGTATCTTCTTAATCCCTTTGACATGTGCGAGCATTATGCCCAGTCTTACCACACATTCTGCAGCGTCGTTGCTGTCTTTCAACCCCACCACCCTGTCGTAGTTCTTGAGATATCTGCTCTTCCACAGCTAGGTGAGCAAGTACATCCTGACCTTCTTGAATTGTAAAGCACCCTCCTTGTTGTATACGCTTTTTTTTTTCGCTTTTTGCGCTGACTTGCAACTTCATTTGCTTGTTGTAAGGCCTGAACTTCCGCCTTTATTAGAACAGCAGAATGCACCATTGTTTGAGCACCTCTTAACAACTGGTCTAGCGCATTGTTAATAGGAGTTGGTGAGCTATTTTGATGGCATATAATGCGATCTTTAAGATGCGTAGTTTGACTTGCTAGCTCTATTAGATTGTGTGGTGTTTTAGGTTCCTTAACTGAGCACAGCATAGTGAGAACCGCCTTTGAAGGTCGCGGTGTAGCGTTCTAGCAGATACTGACAAAGTAATAGGGCTTAAGAATTGAATAATTTGACGAAAAGATAGACTATCAACAAGGCGTAATGACAGATTTTTTGATACTACAAATTGGAGCAGTAAATCTCTATACTTTGATGCATTGACTGGCTGCTTAGCCGTTGTCTTCTTTAGCTCAAAGAATGATGAGCTACTTGACGGACTTGATGCTGCTTGTAGCTGGTGATTCTTTCTCATGGTAAATGAGATTTGCGGGTGCTTTTGGGTGTAGTGCTTCCATAAGTTGCCAGTTGATTTATCCGAGAATACCAATGGCTGCGGTGAGTATCCGCAGTCTGGCTGGTTACAGATAACCCGAATAGTTGGTGGTGTAGTGTCCAACAGTGTACGCCTATATAGATTCTTAACAAATAGCGGTGAGGAGCTTGGTGGAAGCATTGTGCGTGGCGTCTGGAGACAGAGCGACGGAATAAGGGTAGGTAAGGTTGGCTCATTAACCTCATCAAGGCCAATGTCGTCAAGGCCAATAGGCACATCTGATAATGATGAGTCGCTCATTGTGTGTTATGGCATGCACATTACGAGCATATCACGACTATATTCAAGACGTTAGATTCCGAATACTTGGCAAGGCTTGGCATATACCCGGGTATATACCTACCTACTTGAAATACCCGGGTAGTTTCTCAGAAAAAAAAAGGTAGGTATATACCCGGGTATATACCCGGATACGCTGGGTATATACCTACCCGTGCCGAACACTGTAAATTACTATGTAATGGTACCTACAAATTTTGGTGGTTGCGACCCCTATGTAATAGAGTCCCCAGAATCCAAGTCCCGTCCAACCAGTAACCAGGCGGATCCGACGATTACTCTGACCTGCCGTGGATCAACCAACTCAAGCCAAACATGCGACAGCAAGGCAATATCACGCAAATTGGGGCGCTCTGGCTGGGCATTTGACCGGGTAGATATAAAGTCCCATGTCATCCGCAAAAGGTTTCTGAATGCACTTGCAATTCTCGCAGCTGCAAACCACCGGGCGCCAATTGCGCCAGTCGAGTTAAACCGCCACTATTTCCCACGAGGACGAGAAGACTGCCCACTAGGAAGACAAGAACGACCCTGCCTCTGTTGTACACCTGTTAACCAAAGACGGAGAGTAATATGTCACCCCAGATGACGTCCTCAAGGGCGCTGAACAGGCCACGGGTGAAGAGCATAAGATGTCGCTGAGGGAGGCCATTCGCAGGTATCCCACGGCATGTTTTTTCTCGACTCTATTTTCGTCCGCGTTGATCTTGGAGTGCTTCGATAAAGCCTTCGTCACCGCGTTCTTCGCCTTCCCAGCATTTCAAAAGAGATATGGCAAACTCACCGCCACCAAGGTAGATTATCAGGCTGGGACAAATGGCGGTGTTAGTGCTGGCCAGATTATTGGCCTGGCGCTCAACAGTTATCTTGCAGACCGATTTGGTACGGCAGGGTGATACTGGGTTGCCTGTTCTTCATGTCCTGCTTTCTGTTCCTCCATTTTTTTGCCAGCAGCATCTACATACATGTACCTCGGCGCCGGTGTCCTCCTCGGTATCCCGTGGGGAGTTTTCCACGTGATTACCACTACATACGTCTCAGAGGTCTGCCCTAATGTGCTGCGCCCTTACCTCAGTCTCGTCTCTATGTGCTGGAGTATCGGCTATCTGCTCGGCACCGGAGTACTCACAGCCTTCCTCAAGATGGAAGGACAGTGAGCATATCGGATTCCCTTTGCGCTTCATGGTATTCTGCTTGCCCCAGAATCTCCTTGGTGGCTCGTACGAAGGAACCGAATTGCCGATGCCGAAGTGGCATTTGCGCAAACTCCGGAAGAAGGATGTCGACGACGAGGAAATCGCGAATACCTTATCTATGATCGTCTACACCATCAAGATCGAGAACGAGATGAACACGTCCAGTGCTTATAACTCTATTCAAAGGTGTCAACGTCGACGAACTGAGATTACGATTTTTACTTATGTGTTCAAGAGCTATGCTTCCGCTGTTGTCATACGTCGTATACTTCCTCCAACAAGCCGGTCTCCCTACCACTGACGCGTTCAAATTCGGACTCGGCCAATACTCGTTAGCTATTGTGGGAGTTGTAGTTGCATGGTTTCTTACTCCAAGATTTGGTCGACGGACATTGATCCTGTCGCGTATCACTTTCGTCACCTTGACTACTTTCCTCATCGGCTTCTTGGGCCCTTCTCCTGCTCCAATACTTCGTTTTTTTTCTTCACCTGTAGCCCTGTCATCTATACCGTCGTCACCGAAATCCCGTCAAGTTACCTGCGATCCAAGAGCGTCTCCCTCGCAAGAGCTACCTACAACGTCAACGTCATCATCTACGGCCAGCTTATGCCCCGTACGTCTCAGAAGGCGTGGTGGAATTGGGGTGCCAAGGCTGGTTTCTTCTACGGTAGGTGGCATCAAGTGCATTGGCATTATTTGGGGTTACTTTGGGGTTACTTCCGCCTGCCTGAGACGAAGGACAGGACCTTCGCTGAGATCGATATTCTGTTCATGAACGGCGTCAGTGCGCGGGATTTCCCCAAGACCAAGGTTGATCTTGCCAACCAAACTGTTTCCCGAGAGGAATAATGGATGGGCATGGATTTGAAGATGTCTGCCACAATGGGCGGTCAGGGCAGGTCTGAAGGCGTGGGGTCTTCCCAACTTAGTTAGGTAGTTAGCAAGTTGCTTAATTCCCCTTTTCGGGGTCCTGTCCCTGAGTCCCGTCAATAGCCACATATTTTCTGTCGCGCTCTCTACCAGTTTACTCGGTATAATTCTCGTCGGTTATACCAAGCGTTTAATAGCAATGTCCGTCGATGCAGATTTCGTGAGGATTTCGAGTCCGGACTGTCGGTCATGCGCCACAAAAGCCCACGCCACGTACCGGGGATATTCTTTTACTCCGACGGCTCCATATCTGCGGGACTAGCTAGTCAGGAGGCCCCATTGTTATGCCACCCACACTAAGAAGTCACCAAAGCCATAAGTAGCCTGTCAACCCCATCAACAGTTCTAGCGGCAATTTAAAAAACATTCATTCATTTCACCGACAATGAACACTCAATGACAATGAGCCTACAGTTTTTTCCAGCTCCCAACCCAAACAAAACTGGGGTTTTAATAGCCCCGGGGGGCGGCTACTCCTACGTATCATATGACAAGGAAGGTTCCTCGCCGGCGAAATGGTTGAATGAGCACGGATTCGACGCCTGGGTCCTCACATATACTTGCGCCGATGGCGATACTCCCGCTCCCATCTATCCAGCCCCTATGGAAGAAGCTCTGGACGCTGTGAAGAAGATCCGCACCGAGGGCCGCGTCAGCATACTTGGAATTTGGGGATGGTCAGCTGGCGGCCATCTGGCTGCCATAACCGCCACGACGCCTGAGATAAAGCTCGACTTTGCGGTTTTATCGTATCCGGTGATTTCTATGGAAGATCCGATTACTCACCCCGGCTCGCGACAAAATCTGCTCGGTGACAAAGCTTCTCTTGAGTTGGTACAGGATATGTCCGCACAGAACCGTGTCTCTAAAGCGACGCCACCTACCTTCATCTTTCACACGGCCAACGATGGCCCAGTTCCTGTACAGAACTCACTGCTTTTCGCAACTGCCATGGCGCGGTATCAGAGGTCCTTTGAGCTTTTTGTATTGCCAAATGGCCCGCACGGCATTGGCATGGCTATTGACGACCCGGAATTGACTTGGACGGCGGAACTTGATCGCTGGCTTCAGAAATTCATCACGGCCTAGTAATACCTGACAATCGAGGTGGAAATGGATTTGATGGCATGAGCGTATTCTGGAACGTTATGCGCATTATGTTACAGATTCATTGTTAGACAAAACATAGATTATCTTGATAGACGTCAATTTTATTAGAAATAATTCGTCTACCAATAACGTAGGTGTATAGCGAATGTCACAGACAAGCGAATGTCACACTCTGGCGTGCCACCGTGACTGTCCCACGAAGCATTACATTTCTCCCCCACAAATTATGCCATAAAAACACGACGAAAGCAGGATCATTTTATCCCTCTAGGCAATGCAATGACCCAAAGCTAAGTGCTCGAGCTGTGGGGAAGATCTATCCGTTAGCCATGAGAAGCTCAGTCGTCGTAGGCGTGGCATGCGACCACGACGCGATATTATAGCCAACTCACGGAAATTAACCGACCTAGAGGAATCTGTTCTTACTTGATACATCCTTGACCTAGCTATAAAGGGATTTCCTCCCCGAGTGTCTATGGTTGAAGATATGGTTTGGAATATATGAGAGGCTATTGAGAACTTTTGGTTTTAAATCGTGGTGCTTTGGGTGGTTACAAGATTTTAAGGAGAGGAGGTGATTTGTCGCACTGATATACGAAGCCTGACTGTCTCACAAACTATATGATATCTATTGAAACCTAGCCAACCGCAACTACATTCTCAGCACAGCTACAGTATATCCATAGCCCTCTTAAGCGATTAACTTCCTCTCTTCAATTGTCCCTTTTTGAACGAACAATAATATCCGGGAAGCCATGTACAATACCCGGAAATGGTCCTTTACCGAGCAGAGGCAAGCCATCAACAACGTTGACCATAGGATCGACCACTGCTGCTAGCTCTATCCTGGTCAGTTGAGGACTTGGGAGGCGAATAACGGGGATGATGAGGAGAATCGCGAGGTGGGGTTGCATGTTTCTGTGGGATGATCCATAAGCTTAAATCAGGGAACTAGTGTCTCATGACACGCTTAATAGCGCTTCTATTATCAGACATCATGATTTGTTGGTAAAGGGTAACAGGACCCCAAATTGGAATATGCAGGCTGGTCTGTGACTGATAGAAGATGGTCTCACTCTCAAAGTAGCCCTCGCCAACCAAAGTTCAGCTGTGTCTCACCCACAAAGCAGCCGCGATCGCCGGGATCACCACCCATTGTGCTCTTTGGGCAGCATGGCAAGCCTATTTTGGCGCTTGCCTATAAAGCTAATGGCGGATGGCGTTAATGCGCCAGAATGACTGTGGTGTGTAACCGCCATTCTCTTTCCCTCAACAAATATGATAAGAGTATTGAGTAACGTGACTACGATACTTTTGGTCCGAATTCTGCCCGACTTTCGCGTTGACCGCCTTCCAATTCCACCATGCTATCTGAATGGTAAGCTACTTGGTGACAAGGGCGTCATTTATGTGTTAAGGCCAAGCCTGATGCAATCAGTCACGACCTCCAACGTCCAACGTCCAACGTCCAACGTCCAAACTCTCCTCTCACTCCCCATCAACTTCAATAACTTCACGTACTCGCGATATTCGTGGGTTATTTTCTCTCATTTCACCCCAGCTTGAAATATTCCTATATCCAGAGCATCTATAGGTGCCATCAGCCTCGTTGACCGCAGGATGACCTTTATCTAATCGGAGTGGGCTGTTCAAGTACGGATCGAGTGCCAGCTCGTCCTGTTTCCGTATCCTTCTCCGCGGCGGAGGTAGACCTGATGCATATGGATCTCTGATCCACGGCTGTCAATACACTCATTGTCTGCCGTGCCCGTTTCGTGCTTATCCTCACTGCGGCGCCATATAACGAAGTTCGACATCGAGCCCCCAATATCAACTTTCTACGCCCACAAAGAGACCATGGTACGACACCATATACCCCCCATTTCCCATCTAGGCATACATGTTCAAGCCAGCTAACCATCGCCAGGGCTGCTGCGCCTCTCGTGCCGCGGGCACATACCCCGCGTCCCCCTCAGCGCAGCCGAACTCCTCTCGCGCAGCCATAAACACCACCACAGCCTCCAACACAGCCCTACCACGCCCCTCAACACACACCAGCACCTCCCACCACCGCCCCCTAAACGAGCGCTTCAACGTCCCCCTCCGCACGCACGCGTGGACAGCCCGGAAGTCCAAGCCCTGGACGCGCGCCAAGCTGGACCGCGAGCGAATCGCCTTCTTCGACACGCGCGTGACCGGCCGGCCCGAGATCTGGGGCGCAATCCGTGCAGCGGTGGGGGAACTACATGCGGAGGCTAAGAATGGTTGGGGGGGCGGGGGTTACGCGACGGCGCAGAGTATTATTGATGCTGCGGGCGCGACGCTGCCGACGGGGGACTTGGCGGATGGGGTTTATGATGCGCTAGGGGCGTACTATGGGACTCCGGAGTGGGTGGTTTGTGACCCTGTTAATGTGGCGGAAGAGGGAGTGGAGGCGGAGGGGGTGGAGGTGGAGGATGAGGATGATGGGAAGGGAAAGGGGGTGGTGGCGGAGCGAGAGACGGTTAAGGTCACGACGCGGTTGAGCGAGCGTGGGGGTATTGATGTGCGGGTTCGCATTGGCTGTGGGGATAGTGTGAAGACACTGGCGCGCATGGTTGCGGAAGGAAGTGACGTACGTTCCCCCTATTGCTGGTTTCTCAGTCCCTTGCTCCCACGGTGGGTAACAGCGCAACGAAGAAATACTAAGAGCTCCACAGCTACCGCCGCAGAAGCACGTCAAGATTGCTTATCTAGGCAAGATCCTGCGTGAGAATGATACCCTGGTCGCGCAAGGCTGGAGGGAAGGGCATATTCTTAATGGACTTGTTTTTGGCTGAACCACTTGGCCCGCCTCGCACAAAGATCCTTCTCGCACCAAAGCACAGTTTCGGCTTTAACGAGACTAATAAGTTCTGCGGGTGGCCTGCAGCGATGGGATGGAGGAAATAGTACATGAAGGGAGCGAGGGACGTGCTTTGGTTTGATACCCCTGGTTTCAAGCGCTGCGAGATTTATGTTTGCTTAGCGGTTTGTTTTTGGGATGGTATTTTGTTTTGAAGTTCCTTCATAATGAGGTGAAGCACACATCTTGCCTAATAGCGAGTACTTAATAATATTTTCATTGCAACGCAACATGGCATCCGATATACTCACATGTGTCACCCGTATGCACAAGGACGATGTCGATTAGGTATGTTCCGGCCCAACCACGAATATGAGCCTTCGCGAATGGGCCGGCATAATGAGCTTTACCGCAAGCCTGACTCTAGGTTGATACTATTGTTAATGAACACCTACAACTCCTACATGCAGGTTAGATGAAGACATGAAGTATTCTATAACGGAAGTTCTATAGGCTAAAGCAAGAAGAAGCAGAGTTTATAGTAAAGCGATGTAAGAATTATACTCTAAATCGACTAGATATAACAAAAGCTCCATTAGTCCCTTTATAGTAGACAAACGTAGGAGAGGGTTAAAATAGACCTAATTAATATACGCCACGAGCCTTTAGACCAATATAAGTAGATTCTACATATAAAGGATCACTTCTCAAAATATACACAGCTATATCCATTAAAGAACAAGCATGCAGAGCTGATTACAGACTACTTTGCTCTTTTTATTACAGCTTTCTTACCTCCTAAGATTATGGAAGCAGATAACGGAAAGGAATTCAAAGGGGCTCTACTTCTATTACTATGGAAGTATGGAATTTAAGTAGTAAACGGGCCACGACCGCGTATTGCGGGACGGGGTGTCAGACGGATTTCGGGACATGTTCCCCGAGCGGCCCGCAGGTGTCTACGGACGGGCTCTGCAGCCAGGCGAGCGACCCGAGCGGTGCGACGTGCGAGGGGTCGGCGTTTGGGGACTGTTGCTCTGAGTATGGGTTTTGCGGGGCCACGAATGCGTATTGTGGGACGGGATGCCAGGCGGCGTTTGGGACTTGTACGTAGGGGAGAGTGTGCAAGTCGTGCTGGTGAGACGGGGATATATGGTTCGCATATTATGCATGTAGATGAATGTAATTTAAACAAGTCATACAATTGCCCTCGCCATTGACCTGAATATCCGAATAGACAGACGCATGCATGATACTCCCTCGCACCCAGCTCAAAACTAAACTCCTTCAAAAGCGGCGAAACCTTCCATCTCGCAAAGAGCTGCCCATTCTCTACCAAGATCCGCCGTAGCACCTCCCCCCTCTCCTCCTCCGCACCAGGCCACACACCCTCCCACATCCTCACATACGGCTCCACGACCCCCCTAACCTCCCTCAGCCACCTCCCCGCCCTACCCTCCCCAATCCTCCCCTTCCCCACCATCCCCCTATCCATCTCCTCCAGCAAAACCTCCCTCTCCTCCCCCCCCACAATCGCAGCCCGCATCACCCCCAAAACCACATGCGACCGCACCGCAAAATCCAACTCCCCCACCCCCACCCCAGCCGTCTCCTCCACCGCAACAGCAGCCAAAAACTCCACCTCCTCCTCACTTCCCACCTCCCCCTCCCACCCCCTCCACCACGCCTGCACCCCCACCCCGCCATCCGGCTCCCCACACCACTCCACACTACTCTCCCACACACCATCCAAATCCAAATCCGGCTCTGCGACCTCCCCCCCCGCCGCCGCACTCGCCTCCCACAGCCGCGCCGAGTACCGCGCCTCCCACGCACACACATCGACCCCGCCCTCCGCGACCAGCACACCGAAGCCGTTCGGCCCCCACGCCTCCTTGGTGGAGCCTGATCCGGACGGCCCGGGCGAACCGAGCTTCATGTGCTCGAGCCAAAAACGCGCCTGCGTCTCCGAGTAGGGCTGCGCGCTGGGGTGGGCCGCGCGCAGGCGCGCGGTCGTCGCCTCGAGCGTGCGGAGGGCTAGGCGGGTGAGCGTCTCTAGCGGGAGGGACGGCTGTCTGCGGCGCGTGCGCGCGACGCTGTGGGCCCAGCGGGGGGGTTTCGTGGCGTGCGCGCCGGCAGCGGCGGGGAGGCTCTGGCGCGGCTGCGCGAGCGGGGAGGAGGAGTCGGGCAGGTCTTGGAGGTTGGGGAGGCGGTAGAAGCGCGCTGTTGTGGGGTGCGCGAGGAAGGCGGGGGAGTAGTAGGCGCGCCATGCTGCGGGATGGAGGAGGGCGGCGTGCGCGGCGTAGAAGGTGGGGAAGTCGGAGGGGGACGGGAAGTCGCCGGTGAGTTGGGCGGAGGAGCGGTAGATGGCTGCGGCGAGCTGGGCGAGGTAGAAGATATCCAGGGTGCTTTATGATTTTTGTCAGTTCGTTCGTTCTTCTTCTTCTTCTTCGTCTTTCTTCGGGGAAAGTACGGTTTTATATATTGGGGGAATCGTAAACTTACCGATTAAACCTCAGCTCCCCCTCGCCAAACGACCACCCGCGGGCGTGCAGCTTCTCCACGACATCGAACACGCCGTTGCCGTCCCACAGCCCCTCATCCAGATAGATAAATGCTATCCTCAACACGTGATCGTGGCAGTCCACGGCCAGCGCGCCGCCTTCGGCGTCCGCGAGGAATTCTTCAGCGCTCATGGCGAAAACCCTCTGATGAGTAAACAATGATGATCAGGGAATATAAATATGGAATACGAGGTGAGAGGGTTCGCTTCGCTTACGTTCTTAACAGGGGGGCTTCGCGTGAGTGAGTGTTCGCTGGCCTCAAATGAAGTGACGACGACGGGCACCACGACGGGCACCACGACGTCAACCACGACCTCCACCGTCCCAACTACAGTAAAGCACCGTTATAACGATTCTCGATTAAGCGATAACTTCATTATTGCGATATTTTTCCTGGTCCCGACAACACCACCATACAATTACCGATTATCACGATATCGCAGCTCCCTTCCTGAATATCGCTTTATCCGTGCTATGGTGTTCCTATTCAGACCTTGAAATGACGAAACGATTTTCAATAACTATTGAGCAACGCCGGGCTCTATGCAAGTGGGCACATCAACAACACCCGAAGCCTTCTCAAAAGCAATGTATTGAATGGTTCTCTCAGAACTACGGCCATAAACTCAGTCAGTCGACAGTTTCCGAGTCTTTAAGCTCACATTTCGAAGATCTAGACAAAGCTATACAACCTAGGGGATCACGACTACGAGTTGGGCAGTGGCCAGAAGTAGAGCGACTCCTTATTATATGGCAGCAACGAATTCAATCGCGTGGAGGCTTTACAAGCGGTGATATACTACAAGAAAAGGCTCGAGAGATTTGGCAACAACTACCGAACGACGATAATCTACAATGCCCAGACTTCTCAACTGGCTGGCTCCATCGATTTAAAGCACGATATCATATCAAGGTCCATACAAAACACGGCGAAGGAGGCTCTTGTCCAGAAACAGCAGAGGAGGAAATGAAGGCTCTACGAACTATCGCTGGTGAATTTCAAGAGGAGGACGTTTATAATATGGACGAGACAGGCCTATACTGGAAGATGATGCCATCTCGAGGGCTTGCAACACAAACGCTTCCAGGATTAAAGAAGGAGAAAACTCGAATGAGCCTCGTCTTTTGTGTTAATGCTTCTGGAACTGATCGCCTACCTGTGTGGATGATTGGACAATATAAACAGCCGCGCGCACTTCGAAATATCGATATACCATCAATGGGAGGGCAATGGCGTGCGAGCCAGAAGGCTTGGATGAATACAACAATTATGAGCGAATGGCTTCACGCTTTCTATCGACATATTGGAACGACTCGACAAGTTCTTCTTACGATGGATAACTTCTCAGCTCATAACACTGCTCTTGAGCTTTGTCCTCCTCCAACGAACATACGTATTTGTTGGCTTCCTGCTAACAGTACTAGTCAATTCCAGCCCCTTGATCAAGGCATCATTCAATCATTCAAATGCCATTATCGACAACAGTGGCTCTCTTTTATGCTTGATGCTTTTACCTCAGATCGAAACCCACTCGAATCGATGAATCTACACTTTGCGGTCCGATGGATTCTACGGAGCTGGAATCATTTTGTCACAAATACAACAATCTATAACTGTTTTCGAAAATCTACACTTGTCAGCATTCCGATTGCTCTTCCGATTCCAATTACTCCTCCAGGTATCAACGAACTCTATGAACAAGTTACACGAGCTGGCAATATTCATGACGTTATGGCAATTTCTAACTTTCTAAACCCAAGCGACGAAGAAAGGGATATACAAGATGGGACACCAAGCGAGGACGAGATTCTACAAGAGGTTATTGATGAGCATCTAGGTCTTCAGCAAACTCAAGATGATGATGAAGAAGAGTTGCAAGAGCGCTCTTTACATTCTGTGAAGAGCGCTCGTCAAGCACTCCAGGTTCTGATTGAGTTTACTGAAGAACAAGAGGCTCTTCAATCGGACTATTTACGAGGCCTCGAGCGTTTAGAATTCGCTCTTGAGGCATTAGATCAAGAGTCATGGGTGCAGAGTACGTTAGATAGTTGGATTACATAAGAATCAATATAGCGATATTATCATTATAACGATATATTCTGCTGGCAGCAAATACATCGTTATAACAGTGCTTTACTGTAGCACGTCGAATCCCTCCACCGACGGCCTCTGTGGTGCTGCTAATGGTGGAACAGTCTGCCTCGGCACGGCCTTCGGCGACTGCTGCTCCGAGTACGGCTACTGCGGCGACACGAGCGGACACTGCGGCGCGGGGTGCCAGAGCGATTTCGGGACCTGCGATGCTGTTACGGGTCCACCTGTGTCGACGGACGGCACGTGCAGCTCCCTCAGCACCCCCGAAGGTGCGACGTGCGCTGGTTCGGCGTTCGGCGACTGCTGCTCTGCGAGCGGCTACTGCAGTCACCACAGATGCAAGGCCTAGTTAAGCAGGCAAATGGAGTTGTTAAAAATAAGCTACGAGCGTAAAAAATGGATCATGGGACTACAAAGTGGAAGCTACTTGACGTTACACTTTCAATGAACACCCAAATCCACTCTACTACTAGGTGTGCACGAGCTGAGCTACTGTTCCTAGACAGGAGCTCTCATATTAACTGGCTTAATAGACAAGCCTAGAAGGATCTCTCAATTGGAGTTGAGCAGGAAGACAGAACCCAAGCTCCTATTTTTGAGAGTGAGCTTGAGCCTGAAGCGCAAATCGGCCCACAGCTCTGAACAGTGGCGTACTCGCCTGAGCTTGAGCTCAATTCTAAGCCTAGAGCTCAAGTAGAAACTCGAGCTCAATCTCAGGCAAGAGCTCAGGCCCGAGTTGCACCAGAGCTCAATTCCAAGCTGAGCTCTGAGCCAGAGCTTAGTTCTGAGCCTAGAGCATGAGCAGGAACTCGAGCTTGAGCTTAGGCTGAGCCAGAGCTCAGAATTGAGCTGTTGGGCTCTGATCTCAGCCCTAAGCCTGAGCCTGAGCCTGAGCCTAAGCCTAAGACTAAGCCCTAATGTGGGAGCTGGGCTCAAGTGCCACCTTAGCTAGTGTTGTCAATAGTATATGGTTTTTTGGGAATATGCCATAGTAATTACTAGCAATACGGTTCTGGCAATATCTTGGCATACTGTGACAATATAATATACTGCCAAGCCATATGGTGACAATATGATACGGCCTCTTCATACTGACAATATATTGCCAAGACTAAACAATAAAAGTCTATGCTTACATGTGACTTAATAATAGCCCTTTTTATTAGGCATGTAAAAATTGAAGAGTTTTCTTCAATAGCGTACAACATTGATAGAGTGATACAGCATCCACTAATAGTACTAAGGCTACGAATCTAGTGTCTTGTTAAGTCTTAATAGCTTAGATTTTATTAAGTTAGAGGCTGAGCTATTCCAATCACAAACTTCGCAGCTCTTGTAATGCTCAAATAGTACGACAAGTACACTTTCGATTCCACGACCACGAACATCATGGATTTGGGACCATACACTAAGTCGAGACCGAACACCAATATATATATACAATAAAAGTTCGCATTGGCAATGTAGATATTGTGAAAAGAGATATGCTGAGTCTGGTGGCACAACGGTAATAGCAACACACTTGAAAAAGATACATGGATTGTTTGATACTCAGACTAAGCAGAAGGTTGCCAATCAGCAACTGTCATACTGACATTCGTTGCACTCAGTTTGCTATCAAACTCAAGAGCAAACTTAGAAATCTCCTCCTCAAATCTACAAGTCACCATACATATCTTGGCTTATCACACCAACAACAAGAGCAATACTACTCAACGCTTGCTGCAAACTCTTCTACTACATCTGTTTATGCTACATACATCACGGCATATCATTTGGACACTCATTGAAAAATGAACAAGTTATTAAGAAAATCTCCTCCTTAAGGGGTGGGCCAATACTACCACATGGCATATCTCTACCAAGTAGAGGCCTGGGAACATGAACGATAGCTCTAGAAGCTTCTATAACCCTCTATAATTCATTACACGTCATCGCTCCTTAGTTACCCACAAGATTGGTTAAGTTATGACATAATTTGTCTATAGGTACTCTGACCTTGGACCTCCTTTTCACTTCCTATAGGCTAGGAACCCAAGAGATGGTTCTATGGGATTCTCTTACATTCGCTACATGATTAGCAAGCTAGTTGTGGGTCGCACTTGATTTCTAATACATTTACCAAGCCTGGTTAGTCATGGAAAGTCATGGAAAATGAGAGAACTACACTCCTTTGGCATAAATAGGATTGCCCTTGTCATACTGACATTCGTTGCACTCAGTTTGCTATCAAACTCAAGAGCAAACTTAGAAATCTCCTCCTCAAACCTACAAGTCACCATACATATCTTGGCTTATCACACCAACAACAGAAGCAATACTACTCAACGATTGCTGCAAACTCTTCTACTACATCTGTTTATGCTACATACATCACGGCATATCATTTGAACACTCATTGAACAAGTTATTAAGAAAATCTCCTCCTTAAGGGGGTGGGCCAATACTACCACATGGCATATATCTACCAACTAGAGGCCTAGGAACATGAACGATAGCTCTAGAAGCTTCTACAACCCTCTATGATTCATTACACGTCATCGCTCCTTAGTTACCCACAAGATTGGTTAAGTTATGACATAATTTATCTATAGGTACTCTGACCTTGGACCTCCTTTTCACTTCCTATAGGCTAGGAACCCAAGAGATGGTTCTATGGGATTCTCTTACGTTCACTACATGATTAGCAAGCTAGTTGTGGGTCGCACTTGATTTCTAATACATTTACCAAGCCTGGTTAGTCATGGAAAGTCATGGAAAATGAGAGAACTACACTCCTTTGGCATAAATAGGATTGCCCTTTCCTTAAGAAAGGGCAAGCAGACAATACAGTAAATCGACTAGCACATACTTCTACGTCTTTTCCAAGCTTCCAAGCATTGATCTTGTTATTCTCTATTTTTGAAAAGTCAGTGAGGTGCTAACCTCGGACTTACCCCTGAGTTCTCAGACTCAACATTTGTTGCAACTTGTCTAAACCACTTCACCACATCATACACCTGATTGCTGCGTTGTGGAATAGTCTAAGCTACAACCCTTTGGCTCTGTTTCCTAAGACAGTGTGTTGTCTTAGTAAATTCATCCCTTCCTTGGGTGGCTAGATTCTCATATCTGGTGCACCCACCATTACAGCCCTTTCCTTAAGAAAGGGCAAGCAGGCAATACAGTAAATCGACTATCACATACTTCCACGTCTTTTACAAGCTTCCAAGCATTCATCTTGTTACTCCTTGTTTCTGAAAAGTCAGTGAGGTCTTAACCTCTGACTTACCCCTGAGTTCCCAGACTCAACATTTGTTGCAACTTGTCTGAACCACTTCACTACATCACACACCTGATTGCTGCGTTGTGGAATAGTCTAAGCTACAACCCTTTGGCTCTGTTTCCTAAGACAGTGTGTTGTCTTAGTAAAATCATCCCTTCCTTGGGTGGCTAGATTCTCACATCTGGTGCACCCACCATTACAGATTGGTTAAGTTATGACATAATTTGTCTATAGGGGTACTCTGACCTTGGACCTCCTTTCACTTCCTATAGGCTAGGAACCTAGGAGATGGCTCTATGGAATTATCTTATGTCGACTACAGTTACCAAGCCTGGTTAGTCATGGAAAGTCTTGGAAAATGAGAGAACTACACTCCTTTAGCATAAATAGGATTGCCCTTTCCTTAAGAAAGGGCAAGCAGACAATACAGTAAATCGACTATCACATACTTCCACGTCTTTTCCAAGCTTCCAAGCATTGATCTTGTTACTCCTTGTTTCTGAAAAGTCAGTGAGGTGCTAACCTCTGACTTATCCATGAGTTCTCAGACTCAACATTTGTTACAACTTGTCTAAACCACTCCACTATATCATACACCTGATTGCTAAGCTACGACCCTTTGGCTCTGTTTCCTAAGACAGTGTGCGGTCTTAGTAAAATCATCCCTTCCTTGGGTGGCTAGATTCTCACATCTGGTGCACCCACCATTACATCGCCGCAGGTGCCGCAGCGTGTGCGGACCAAGTCTGGCACAGCGGCAATGACTGCCCCAAGCGGCAGAAGTCCTCCATGATCCCGGCGAGCCTGGCGTCCTCGAGGATGCCGGGCATCCTCCCTCTGAACCCTCTCTTTTCGCGGTCGGCCGCGGGGGATTCGGGTGACCGGAGGGTCACAGACTCCTCCCGAGGCGTTAGGGTCTATGAAAAGACCCTCAACAGAGATCGTAGGCAGAGGCAGTATCAACTGCCTCTGCCAGCACACAGCAGACAGCTCTGTCAGAAGAAAGGGAGTCAATTGACTCCCTTGTTGAAAGATAAGAGGACAAAAACTCGATATACCCAGTAAACTGGTAAGAAAACTCCATCTACCCAGTCGGCCGCTAACCCTCCTTTGGAAAGGTTAACGAGCCAATGAGAGGCGTACTCTCATTTAAGAGTACGTGCTCTCATATGGCCTTTTTGAAGCAATTGAGCTGGCAATATACCAGCCCAATTGCACGGTAAGTCGGGAGTCAATTGAGACCCCCAAACCTCCTCCCCCTTTCCTTCTCCCCTCCACCACAGAACCCCGCTGACACCTCCCAGGCTCCCTCCCTCCTCCGACCCCCTCGAAACCCCCCTCGGAAGCCCTCGCGCGAGGCACAAACTCCCCCGCCTCCCCCGATACCAAGAGAATGGCGTGCCTTGTGGGCACACGATGGTAGCGCTACCATCGCCTAGGATAGCGGCCTTCCTATTCCTAGGTTTGATAATTAGGGAGGCAACATTAATCAGTAGGTTTGGTAGCGGGCCGAAGAAATCCATGAACGTCCCTGTGATGAAGCGGGTATACGTTAGAGACGGAAATTCCTTTAGCTTATTAACCGCTATAACTTTGAATTCTATAGCGTGAAATTCAAAGTCCCTATAGCATAGAGATGTTAGCGAGCAGAATTGGATAGGCAAGAACATAAGTGAGATACTTACACCCTAGCTACTTCAAGATAGTCAAGACCGAACTTGCTAGGAGCAAATCGCTCTACGGTCTTACCGACTCCTTCAATAAGGTTGAGCTGTACGTCACTTGCTTCCTTGCTGTTTAAATGGAGGCATGAAATCACGGTGCCGACGCGATTCTTCTCGAGGACGGCAGTAATGGTAGCTGGAACCGCGTAGTTAACAGCGAAAAGCTTGACATTAGGCTTAGAAGCAAAAACGTCAGATTCCTAAAATTAATCAGCTGCTATTCAAGATAAGAGGTGATGAGCGCTGGATTAATCACCTTGCGAGAGAGCACGAAGACATCGTGCTTTTTAGTAGCTACGATAGCATCGACAACTAAGCGGCCGAGGCCACTGGTACCACCTGCTACTGCGACTCTGACCATGATTTCAAGAGTTGTATTGAAATGATTAAAGCGAAGAAAGTTGTTGCTGTTGTATTAGTGGGATTGAAGAGAAGAAAGCTGTTGATTATCTTATCCAAGTCTTCATTCACGGAGCCTCGATAATGTCTATTCCCCGGACGATTTGCTAATCATTTATTCAATTATGGGCGTTTGAGGAATACCTGAGAATTGAAAGTCGATGCTTTTCGTTAATATCGCAGTTTGAGACTTGCGCGACCGGAAAATAACTGTCCCAAACGAGCGACATCGTTGGTTTCTGACAAACATCGTCACGGCGGCTGGAGCAACTTACAGGGATGCTTCCTAGTGGTCCAGGAGCGACATCAATGTGACAGCGGAGGATGAGATGGTCTTGTTGACAAATCCTACGCAAAATCTTATTTCTATCTTCTCCAAAGCTGGCGACGTGAGTCAAACAGCGCCACCACCATATGAAGCTCGCCAAATAGTTACAAGCAACTAGCATAACGTCCAAAGTAGAAAGTCAAATGTTTCCATTCCAGCAACTCTGGCTCGATGTTGATCCCTTGATATCTGCATTCTGCCTCTGCCGTTGCGCCGCCTATGGCTGGGTTCAATGGCGGACAACGTTGGCAGGCATAACACAATCGCAGAAATACCATAATAACGACAGGACACTGAAGTGCTGCGCTATATCACCAATACTGTCACCACAACCACGGCGCGCACTTCATCCAACGCTCATTGTGCGCCTCCATTCATCTCTTGATCCTCATCATCCGGGTCCAACCCCTCGGCATGTCCTAAATGGCTAGCTACGTCTCTCATCTCATAGTGCCTCTTTCGCATCGCCTCAAAACGGCGGTGCTTCTCCTTCTCCTCCTCACTCACCCCGACATTGTCCACGTGCGCTGGATCTCTCACATGTACGGCCTTGCCGCTCGCGCTGCCTGTGCTGCCGCTCCGCTCCATGCGCCCAGCTTCTGGAAGTGCCTCCTCAGGCTCGCCTAGCTCGATTCCTGGGATCTCATCTTCACGGGCAACACGGTGTATTTTTCTTGGGTGCTGCGCTTTATCGAGCTCATCCACAACGATGTCCTCTGCGTCTAGGGCACGCATCTCGTCCGCATCTTCATCGGGGTCGTAGCGACGCGCATATGGAGTCTTCGGCTCGTCGATCTTCATGGTTGAGTTCTTCTCCTGCTCGGTAAGGTATAGGTTTGCCTCGTCCCATTTGAGGCGCATTGATGTATCGTCTACCGGAGTGCCGGATGCGCTGTTGGAGGAGAGCGATGATCGGCGACGAGCACCACCGGGGCGAGAGGCTGAGGACGAAGCGCGGCGGTGTCCGGCATTGAGGGCTGTGTTGTATAGAGTTATGTCTTTATCGGAGTGGGTGGTATCAACTGAACGGCGGTCGATGCGAGCTTCTACTGGGGGTGCCGCAGGTGGTGGAGAGACTGCGGCGGGCGCATGGGACGATGGAGAGTTGCTGTAGGAGTTCTTGAGGATCCCTGAAAGACATTAATGGGATGTACATGGCAAAGGTGGGAGGGCAGAAAGTATATACCTTTAGGCCGTCTAGTGGAAGGTCGCGGAGGGGTGTGGACCACGGATGTCTGGCTGTCGTCGTCGTCCATTATGGCGTGTATTTTGACTCGTGTGGGCGAAAGATATTGTCCAAAGTAGCTTGTGAAGCTGGCTGAAGATACCCCAGATATACAATCGATATTGTTGCAACGAAGAGGTAGAGATAGAAATGGTTTGACTTGTTGTTAGCACAGTAACTTGTTCTGTCGCATGGTTCTCTGTGATAAATGCCTCTCTTTTGTTGTGAAACTGGGAGGTCTTGCGATGGTCTTGCGAGATCTTAACTGGTGCATCTCCAGCTAAGTGAAATGGTGATGCGGGGAGTGAGGTCTGCTTAGTTATCGAACGTCATTGGTCGCTGATAGGGGAAAACGCCACTAGTCCCTGATAATTCAGGCCAATATGTATGTGCCACGTGGCATTCCTCCAGGGGTCATCAACCACCCAAAACGGAAATGAAGATGGTGGACTCAGGTGCGAATTCCACCTCATGATATGTTGGTCCTCAGAAGGTACATGGACTGGTCAAGGAAGGAGGTTGATCATATTGTTGGTTATACTCGATTCCATCGCTACTGTGCTCTCTACTGGTTGTTCCCGTTCCGATTCCTTGCTTTACTATGGAAAGTTCATACTCTATAAACCGACAATTGCTTGCCAGAACGAGCGACCCATTGAGCGCTATTTCTCATATTGTACTGTGTTGCAGATCAATGTAGCTGCGTGAAATCCACAGACGAAAGATCGAGCAGTCCGGCCATATATTTGCCCCACAAGACACCTCAAGAAAACCACTTGACCCATACAGCGAAGATTAAATCACCACTCCTCGCTCAATTCTGACAGAAGTGATGTGGATGACGGCGTCCTCATAGCTTCGATTGCCAACAATGCAAGACCCAAGGCCAGTAACCCGCCACATCCCGCCTTTACCAATGGCAAAATCAGCCCCATCAACGTGAACCTGGAGTTTACCAGATACCACGTAGCAGACGCGGACGAATGTCTCAAGAGGAAACCCAAAGCTGCGGCCGCCAAGGATAGTTTGGATGGCGAAGCTGGTATTGGCAAACTCGGTGACGGTTGGATTGTTGCGGATATGGTGGGCTGAATAAGCAACTTCTGTGTGGTGTTAGTACAAACACTTTGTTAACTGATACCAGCCCACGGGCGTATTTACCATGGCCCCCAGAGTTAAATTTGTCTCTCGCAGTTCTGACGGTCCCTGGGCTAACTTCCCAATCTTCCATCGCCGAACGGTATGAAACTTCTGCCGTGGTAATGTTACCAACGGCAGGTTTGATTGGCTTGGGCGATCGAAGGTTCATCGGAGGCCGAACAACAACAGGAGAAGAACTGCTGTCGCGCTCAATCTCAACGTCGTGAGCTGCGACCTGAGACTTGACTGGGAAGATAGGCTTGGCTGGGGCAGGTAGCTCAGTCGCGGCGTTTCGTGGCTTTGACTTCAGCTTGGTCTCTGTAACAACTTCCTTCTCCTTGATCTTTTTGGCAAGTTGGTCTCTCATACCCTCATTGTTGTTGCGTCCCTGATTCGTATACTTCTGTATTTCCCGACGGGCTGATTCCAAGTTTCTATCTGCTGCCGTTAATTCCGGCTGGGTAATGACCGAATATGTTCTATCCCCATTGTCGCGCAGGATCTGGTCACTGTGGCCTTTCTACTGCAGTAAGCATACATGATTAGGAAGATGGATTTGCCGCCACTTACCGGCATATGCCCAGCAAGGGAGTCCTTGCGGGTATACGACTTTCCGCAACCTTCAATGGGGCATGAGAACCGGCCGTCTTTGCAATCGCATGCTCTGACTATGTCACGGAGAGATATCTTCGAGCCTTCGTGCTCAACCTTTACAATAGCAGGCTGTAGGCCCGCAGGCGGGGAAGGAGAGCCGTCGGACTCATTGTCCTGTGCCGCCGTGTCGTCCACCGCCGCATTTAGAACCGCCTTTCGAGAGAAGGACTTCAGGATAGTATCCAGACGAGCATGCTGCGCAGAAGGAGATTTGAGGACAGTATTCGCAGCTGAAGCGTGTGGAACGAGAGCTTTGGGGGGACTCATGAACGGGCTAACCCCCGGATAAGAGGAGACGTTATTGCGATTTCTTGACTTGGCTGGTGCGTCATTGGTGTCTCCCTGAGTGGCATCTGTCGCGAGATCTTGAGCAATCCGATAGGAGGTCTTGCGCTTGGCAGGGAGGTTCTCAACCCCTGGCACTTCGTAGAGCCTGCTTTGGTCCCGGTGCTTGTTCTTCTTTCTTTTCTTCGGTGGGCTCGACGCCAGAGGATCTTTCTCTACTACGATACTCATACCATCGTCATGGCCAAGGTTATGATCCCTGGAGTTCATGTTATCGAGGCTCTTTCCGCGATGACGTTCCTCAGAACTCTTGCTCTGGCGAGAACTCTTGCTCTGGCGACAACGTTTGCGTTTCTTTTTATCAGAGGATGGGTTAGATTTGCCATGACTCTCAGCTTCTCGCTGAATTTGGTCCTCAATGAGGTCGGAGTCGCCGGTGATGCTTGGACGGGCCATGGTGGTTGAAGTAGCGTTGTGGCTGAAGTAGAGGTTAGGACGAACAAACAACAATAAAAGAACACTGTGGACAAAAGCTGTCGGGTAGAAGAAGCAACTTACGTTTGATGACAATGGGCACTATGTAGAGTTATAGTGAAATAGATGACAGGTCAGAAATTGAAAATGCTCCTACTCGTTAAACGCAAGGTTGTTGGGTAGGTGTAGTGAAATGTTTGTGAGGTTGTTTTCACCTCGGAAATATTAGCAAACGCGCTGTTTACGACCACAACTAGCCCTTTCTATGTAAGGTGTAAATCCTTTATCATTTAGCTATCGCTGCGATTAGAAACGTGCCTAAGTGAGTAAATTCACGTAAGTAAAGGACACAGAAACTCAAACTCAAGCGGAATCACTGTTAGATTTACTGCAACATAGAAGTTATAACCCTAGTCTGAATTTTATATCGTAACGGCTTACTTCCAGTTCCCATTGCTGTTATGCAAAGTGCATGGCTGCAGTTGTGAGAGTCGATTTGGAGGTAATATGTCTGTCGTGGAGGTCAATTCCAACGCCGTGGTGCACAGGAAGCCATTGATGAACACCTGTCAGGATGCCAATCCCCGGGGTTGTGACGAGCGGAGATTTACACCCTAAATCGTATGGGATTATCCGGCCACCGTAATCACTCTTCTTGGCAGTGGTCGACAGAACAGAGATATCACAGAACAGAATACAGTATATAGCAATACGGATTATAATAGAGTCAATTGATTATCTAAATATCTCACCGTTCTACGTAGCTTATATAGGTGATTCCTAGGGAGTAGCCGAAACCCTAAGCTTTGGCTTACCCCCATAGCAGTTGGTCATAGCGATAACTACAGCCAAGCAGGCCAATGGATACCCTTGGGGAACGCTCCCAAAACAGGGCTAATTCCTTGGCAAATCCCGGGATTTCCCCAAAATCTCCAATACGATCAACAACGCTAGGATTTATGTTGAAAGCCTCTAGAATGCAACACTAAATGAATACAGTAGGACCCCTGTTATAGCGATGTAATTTTGACAACACTTGAATATCGTTATAATTGAAATATCGGTATACTAGAAACATGTGATTTAAATTGAATGACTACGTAAACCAACTATCTAGAGTACTCTGCTGCCTCGATGATATTACTAGGGCCTTAATATCAGTAGTAAGGCGTTCTAAGGCCCTAGAATAGATTTTCCAGCTTGTTCAATCCTTCTGTATATTCTATAAAAACTTGAAGAGCCTAGCGAGCTTCCTGTAGCATTAGCAAAGGCTGTTCTAGCTCTTCTTCTTCTTCTTTACCTCTTGTAGAATCATATTTTCTTAAGTAGTCGTATCCTCTTCTTCTACCTCTTCGATAGGGTTTAAGAAGCTTGTAAGTGACATAGCCTCACGGATTTTGCCAGCCTATATAACGTCTTGGAATAGAATATCAATATTCTTACATAGTAGAATAGAAGTCGGCTAGGTAGTCGAAATAAGGGTTGACTTAAGGAAACAGTTATATATCGTTTGATTTGTAATATCTGTATTCTAATCTTAGAGGGCCCATCGAATTGCGTGTCGAAGAATAATAATTAAATATAGATCTTCTTGTTTATCGAAAGAAGAGAGCATTATGAAAAGCTGTTGCTGCTAGTAATAGACCTTGAAATTCTAAATAATTCCTTGATTTAAAGGTTGCGTACGGCTTGTTGAATTTAGAGGAAGCCATTTGATTCGAATATTCAAAGGAGGAGGGTGTAATTTAATTCCCGTAATATAAGCACTGAAATTATCCATTGTAAGAAGAACCTGTCGTCCCCATATATGGCGATAGAATGAAGCCATTTAACCATAACGATTGTTGTATTCCAAGCTTTCGAATTATGCTTCTATATGCCTTATATTCCTCAAATATCGATTCCTTATAAAGCTCGTGGCTTTTTAGCTTTTCTAATAAACCAAGGTTGAATTCGGTCTTCTCCTGTTACATTCATATATAAAATAACCGTTATTCATGCTTTATCCTTCTTAACACCTAGAATACTCTAAGAAAGGAGGACCTCTCGAGGGTCTTATATTCTAGAATAATCCAGTTTTAGCCATGTTATATATATCCTTCTTCTCATATTACTTTGTAATAAGCCGTAGCCCTTCCATCACTTCCTCTACATTAGGAATTGACCCTGCTTCGCTGTGTTGAAATCGTGCTCGAATACCATGCCGTTTCTTGAATTTTTCGAGCTACCGAGTACTAAATTCTAGCTCGGGTTTCTCCGTATAATAAGGGAGTTGATGCTAGACTTCTCGAGCCTTTTCTCGAAGGATTTCGCCTATATCAAATGCCCCTTTTGCTTCAACTCGAAGCTGCCAATGCCAAAGGACCTCTTCGAGCTCAGGCAAAGCCGGAACGGATACGAAGGGCAGACGTCGATATAGCTCCAGCTTCAGTATCTAGCCTCTCAAAAGTAGCGCTTAAGGACTCAGAAATAGTAGACTAGCTTACTTTATGGCCGTACGTCTCCTAGAACCACTGTATACAGGCTTTCTACGTAGGCTTAGGGTGCTGTCGATGGGCCCATCGACGTAAGGCACGCGTTGCTCAATTGTAATACCCTGCCGAGCCATTTTACACATACAAAATATAACGATTTTATTACATATTACGGAACGATATCGTAGTATTGTAAAAGAGTCAAAAATTACATATAAAAAGCCAGCGTAGCCTCAAAATTATCGCTATATAGGAAATACCGGCTAATAGGAGATCGCTATAACAGGGGCCCTACTGTATTGAGGTTTAACGTTTCCATCTTGCTTCTGACTGCACATATACGAATTTAAAAATGCACGAAGATGCTGGTAACTATTGATTGTATATGGTACTCCAAGCACATCTAAATCTAGAACCGCATACCCGTCGCTCAACAGGCTCCATAATCTCATGTATAAATCTTCAGTCAAATAACCCCTATGATGCACCCTAAAAGTCAAACTCGCTGTTCACCGTCTCAAAGTGCTTGAAGAAGCCGTGGAACAGCTGAACTCCGAGTCCAGGATCCTTCGATCCTGTCGTTGCGCGAATGCTGTGCATGCTCAGCTGTGCTATCCCCGCATCGATAGCCCTCACGCCCATAGCGGATGAAAGCATAGGGCCAACAGTGCCACCTGAGCGGCTATCGTTGCGGATCTGGAAGATCTGCAGCTTGCTATCTGACAGCTCGGCGACTCGCTGGAGGAAAGCAGTGCTAACCGCATCTGTCGTGACGTGTCCGTTGCTGTCTCCAGACACGACCACACCAATGTTCAGGCGTGGTGCATGCTGGTCGAGGTAATCCCCGAGGAAGTTGGGGTTGACGGCGTGCGTCACGTCCGCACTCACCATGAACGAGTTCGCGTAAGTACGGCTGAGGGAATCCTTCTCCTTGCCCTCTGTGGCAAAAACTTCGCTTACCCTCTCAATTGTGCCAGGTAGGAAGTTTCCCTTCGCACCTTGGCGAAGCAAGCTGCCGATTTCCTCATCGTCGAACAGGGCGACGAGGTTGATAGCAAACTTCGGCTCCGGTGCAGCGAGTAAACCCTCGATCGCCGACCACGAGCAAAGCCTATCATCGATACGGCCACCAAAAATAAAGTCCTTGTTCAGGCCACCGAGTTGAGCTGGCTGGGTGTCAAAGAGCTCAAGCTCCCAGTTTACAATGTTCTTCGGGTCAACCGATGCTGCGGCGGCAATAGCAGACACCAAGGCCGGAGGCTGTGTCGGCGCAAAGGTGTAGTTTCCCCCGTTTAAGGTGCTAGATGCAGTCGCTTCCTTTGTGCCAAATAGATCACTGTTGTTAACACCAATGATCGGGACAGCTTGGGTTTCGCGGTTGTTGGTGCCAGTCATTCCAGACCCGAAATGAGGTGCAAGAGTCGGGATACGGGCAACTAGACGAGGCGTATTAGCTGATGTAGGTATAGGCAACGATTCAATGGCAACTTACTTGGGTAATCGAGCTTGGCTAGCTTGGGCGTTACCTTCCCAGTCTGTGGATTCTTGACCAGGATCTTGCCGCCCACACCCAGGTCACGGTCCCACCAGGTCGAGTTCAACGCACCCGCATACTGTGCGACACCCAGCTGCTCGTATCCAGCCTTTGTGTCCTTCTTCGAAACCGGCTTTAGCCTTGCAGTGAGAGCGTCGACGTGACTTGCAATAATGGCCACTCCGTCGCCGCTCCTGTAGTCTGAACCGATAGCAAAAGCTATTATGCTGCTTCCGTTCCTCTCGAGGAAGTATTTGCCTCCCCTCCTAATCTCCGATGACCAAGACGAGCGTTCCGAGAGCTGTTCGGTGTTAGCATTCGTAGTCCCAATCAGAGAGAAGACGCAGTACCTTGGAATACCCCGCATCGATCAGCTTCTTTGTGAAGTAGTCCACAGTGTGGAATACGGTGGGGTTCTCAGTCAGGAACGAGGTAAATGGTTCGGCGTATGACTCTGGGCTTCCTGGGCCTTGGACTCGTGGGCGAGCCGGCAGAGCAGCTTGTGTTGCCATTGGAGCTGGAGCTAGAGCTGGAGCTGGGGCGGCAGCGTATACAAGTTTTCTGGTCATGATATCTTTTGTGTCGTTGAATCTGGGAAACATAAGAGGATATAATGAGGATTGGAGGAGGGAGTCAGAGAGTGGGTGAGGGATAGTGAGTGAGACAGAGAGGAGCAAGAGGGAGCAAGAAGGCAGCTGAAGTGAGATGATGTGACTGACCGATAGATGGTGGGTTGGTCTGGCAGATACCCGCTATGCCTGTTGTGGCTTCTCTTATCGTGGCTGGGGCTAGTTGGTGGATGGTGGCTGGGGCCGTCCGAGTCATTGAGAGATCGTTGAGCCCTGATTATCAATTATGGGCGGTTGAAGTGAGAATTGTAACTTTGAACAATACAATACTGCTACAATGCAAGATACAGACAGTGCTTCAACTCGCGCAATGAAGAGGAAATATGTTAGATATATAAATCATTATATGCTTACGTTAATCCACAATCATCTCTACAGACCATTTGCTACTGTTTAGACCTACTTCTTCCCTCCGTACTCCTCCCATAGCTTCTTTTGCCTATCCCAGTCCTTCTTCAGCTTCTTCCCCGCGCTCTTTGGCACATCCTCACCCTCCTTAGTCTTCGTCGGAAGTCCATCAGCATCCCACGCGCTAAACTTCTCGTCTCCCTTGTACATCTCGTACGGGCTAACGCTAGCCTTCGCCTTCTTCTCCTCCTCAGCCTTCTCCCTCAGCCTCTTCGCCTCCCCCTTCTGTGCCGCCTTCTCCCTCTCCTTTGCCGCCTTCTCCTCGCGTTGGGCGAGCAGCTCTTCTTTCGGTACGAACTTGATCAGCGAGGGCTGGCCATCGGGCCTGTCCTCGAGATACACGCCCAGATTCGTGAGATCGCTGTCGCGGATCTCGTCGCAGAGTTTGAGAATGTCTTTCTTAGCCGCAGCTGTGGGTGCGACACGGCGTAGTTCATCGCGGATGCGGGACACGGCGCGGAGGTAGGGCAGGGAGAGGGTTTGGATGTCGTTGGCGCCGGTGGAGACGACGGATGTGAACTCTGCGTTGATGTCGTTGGCGAGTAAGGTGTCCAAAGAGGCCGACTCGATCCTGAGATCTTTAATCGCCGAGACAACACGGTCATAGACGGAAGAGTAGGGGACAATCGCTTCAGCGGGGTTGGTAATCTTGTCCGACGCAGAGGTGGCCCATCCTAGGCCATCGTAGGGTGGAGATGCGTTGGCATCCAGTCCAAAGATTCCGACCATCTTAGTCACCCATCGAGCGACATTCTCCACTTCGCGAACGTCAACGGAGGCTTTGTGAGTGTTGACGTATATGTTCGCCTCCTTCACAGCCTCATATATCAAGCGCATTGCCTTTGGCGTGTCGAAAGAGTCTGCGAGGGCTGCCTGCATCTCTGACTGCGCTTTTCCCAGAGCAGCATCCAACGTAGCACTATCCCCTAAGGAAAGGTTTTCAAGCGGCTCTTTGCCGCTTGCCTCAGCAACCAGCGACTTGGTGGTGGTAAAGAAGTTGTTGACTGAAGTCTCCCATCCGTCACCTTGGGTCCTCATATCTGGCGAGATCTCAACACCGTCGTTCCACCTGCCCATAAGAAATAGGATACGCATGGCTCTTGGGGTATAGCCGGTCTTCAGCGCATCCTGAATAGTCTGAAAGTTCTTCAAAGACTTCGACATCTTCGAGCCAGCAATAGATAGATGGCCCATATGCAGGAAATAGTTGACCCAAGTATGTGGCTGGCCGTGTTCGCAGTAATACGCTTCGCTCTGGGCCAATTCGTTATCGTGATGAGGGAAGGCAAGATCGATACCACCGGCATGCATATCCATTTGCGAGCCAAGAACATCAGAAGCCATGACAGAGCACTCAATGTGCCATCCTGGGCGTCCCTCACCCCACGGGCTGGGCCAGCTCGGCTCTCCAGGCTTGGAGCGCTTCCACAATGCAAAGTCGCCCGCGCCACGCTTGCCACCCAGGCTCTTGGACAGCGATCCCTCGCCATCTGCAATCAATGCCTGGTCATTCTTGCTATCTGGTCTCAGACGGGCGTACGAGTTTCCAGCCTTCTCGAATGCGGCGATATCGAAGTACACAGACCCCTCGGACTCGTACGCGAAACCCTTCTCAATAACCTTCTGGACGAAATCGGCGATCTGCGGTACGTATTCCGTAACCCTCGTGATGACGTCCGGTTCCAAAACATTCAGCGCCTCCATGTCGCCCATGAAATCCTTCTCCCAGTACTGTGTAACATCGGTCCAAATAGAGTGTTCCTTCGAGTCAATGCTCTCCTTGTAAATCGAATCTAGATATGGCAATAAGATCTCGTCTGCGCCGCCAAAAACCTCTCCTTTTTGCAGAGCCTCCGCTGAAACTGTGAGTGCACTCAAGTGCATCTTCATCTTCGCCTCGTCGTCTCCCGGCTTCCCCTCTCCGGTGAGAGTTCCCCCAGCAAGAACCTTCGCATATACATCATCGCGTCGCTGAGCATAGTTCTCAGGGGTGAGCTCCTGGCCATTCGATAACAACGCTGGCAAGTTTCCCTTGGCATATGCCTGGAATGCCTCCTGTCCGCGCTTCGAGATTTCCGATTCCGAGAGAGACTTGGCCTTCTCACGTTCGAGAATTTTAGAACGGCGCGCTCTTAGAATGATCTGGAGGCATTCAGTCAGTCTCCTATGCGCTAATACAACAACAGAAACGCGGGCATATCAAACTCACCTTATCATCGACATCGGTAATGTTCATGACAAAGTTGATCTTGAACCCAAAGTAGTCCCGCAGAATGCGCCGAATGATATCGGTCGCGACATAGTTTCTCGCGTGCCCCAAGTGAGAGTGATCATAGACCGTCGGCCCGCAGACATACCAACTGATCTTCCCCTTCTCGATCGGCACGAAAGGCACTGGCGGCCCAGGCTGGAGCGAATTATGGACCTTCAACTGATCCATGATGTGAAATGTGCTTGCGCTCCGAAAGCGGTTTCTCGAAAATATTGCACGGCGCGTATTCAGGCTGACGCGGGCTCGAAGGGTTCGAAAATAGAGAGAGTGAAGCATAGATATCCGCTCATGATACTCCCAACCTGTGTTGCATATAATATTATAAGCGCGTTCGTCTTGTCTATTGATTTGACTCACCTTTCTCTCATGCATGAGGCCAGGGCTGGTGAAATGTCGCCAGCACCACCCACACATTGCGGTCCGCGTGTCCTTCAGCCTTGCGGCCCAGCCTCGCAAGAAAAATAATGCGGCCAATCTCAGCATCGAACGAATCTACGAAACCTCAATCTCCCACCACGCACTGCCAGCAATGCCAATCCACCCACAATGCCTACGAAACTCTCCCCCTTTCTCTGCCCAGGGGACGCCACCAAAGCAGACGAGCTCGCCATCGTCTACCTCCGCCGCGACCACCAAGTCCCCACCATCCTGCGCGAGCGCGACGACGACGACGAGGGCTACTCGGAAGGAAAAGTAATTAACACGCGCTTCGGCTCCTTTCCACACAGTACGCTCACCTCGCTCCCCTGGGGCAGCCAAGTGCGCGCCTCGAAAGTCGACACTGGATCGCGCGGACGCCGGCCGGCAAAGCGCAAGCGCGACGATGGCGCTGACGAGGATGAACCAGCCCGGGCAGAGCCAACGCAGGCTGTGACGGCCGCGAGCGGGTTTGTGCATCTTCTCCCCCCGACGCCGGAGAATTGGACGAGCGCCCTGCCACATAGGACGCAGGTCGTGTATACCCCCGACTACGCATATATTCTGCATCGGATCCGCGCGCGGCCAGGGAGCCGGATCATAGAGGCTGGAGCAGGGAGCGGGTCGTTCACGCATGCCTCTGCGAGGGCTGTGTACAGTGGGTATCCATCCGCTGATGCGCCGGAGAGAAATCTAGGACGAGTGTTCAGCTACGAGTTCCATGCTCAGCGGCACGAGAAATTGGTGCTTGAGCTTGCGGACCATGGGTTGGAGGGTGTGGTGGAGATCGCACACCGTGATGTGTGTGGGAAGGGCTTCTTGGTAGGTGAGAATGCGGATAAGTCGCCTGGCGCTGATGCCATCTTCCTCGATCTTCCGGCGCCGTGGCTTGCGCTTCCGCATCTCTCGCGGCGTGAGCAGCCTCTATCCATACCCTTGCCCGCGGGCGAGACACCACGGCCGTTTGTGTCATCGCTGAATCCCCACGCTCCGGTACATATCTGCACCTTCTCACCTTGTATTGAGCAAGTACAGCGCACGATATCCTGCATGCGACAGCTGGGGTGGGTGCAGATCCAAATGGTGGAAGTCCAGCAAAAGCGCGTAGAAATCCGACGAGAGCGCGTCGGCATCGTCCACGGCCAAGCCGTCCACGGGATGCAAAACACCGCCGCGAGCGTAGACGAGGCTCTCGCTCGCCTCCGCGAGATCGAGGGTCGGTTCCGAAGCTTCCACGGCTCTGAGCCCGGGGAGAAGAGTGCGGGTTCGGGGTCGTCAGGGAACGAGAACGGCAAGGCGAAGAAGGTGCAGCCTAATTCGCGGGAGGCGATCGTAGCGAGCTTGATAGAGCGGAAGGCGTTCAAGGAGGGGAATCTGATACATAAGACTGAGCAGGAAGTCAAGACGCATACGAGTTACTTGGTGTTTGCGGTGTTGCCGGTGGAGTGGAGTGAGGAGGATGAGGAGAGGGCTGCTGTGCTGTGGCCGGCGAGGGCGGCGGAGGTGAAGGGGAAGGAGAAGGTGGGGAAGAGGGGAGTTAGTAATAGGCAGTTGAAGAGGGATGCGAAGGCGGCTGAGAAGGCGAGGCTTGCGAGTTTGGCGGCTGGGGATGGAGAGGGGGAGGGAGAGGGGAAGACGAATGGACATGCTGAGGTAGAGGGGGAGACTGTTGCTGGCGGGGACAATGTGGCCGAATAGATTTCGTTGGCTTTGGCTGAAGCCACTCTATGTGCTGAAACACAAGGATGGCGGCGAACGCACCATATCTAGTTCTAGGCATTGAATAGAGCACTGCGAATACAATCACATACAAACATCCAAACCACCAATTCATGTTCACAAAGGCCATCCATTTCATTCCCGTTATCAGTCATAGGCAACTAAGCCCGTTCAACAGACCTACCAGCTCCCATACTGCTGCATCTCTTGCGGCGCATCCCTCTGCTGAGGGTTATACTCCTCATGCTGTCCATAGTGCTGATCATACAGCTCATGGCTCTTCTCCTTCGCCTGATGCTGGGCACGCTCCTTGTCGTAGAAATCCATACCCTTGGTCTCAGCAAGGCGGTCGACCTCAGCGCCGGCAAGGCCGGCGAGGAGCTCCTTGGCGAACTGGTGGGAGACGGGCTTGCCGTCTTTGCGCTGCTTGTCCTCAAAGGCTGGGTGGGTTAGCTTTGTGGGAGTTGTGTGAAGGAGGAGGGGGGGGGGTTACCTTTGAATCCAGCGAAGGCGGCGGCGCCTGCGATGGCTTCGTGGGAGAACTTGGCCTCGTTGGGGGTGTTGTCGTCGGTGTTGTAGGCCTGTTGGTAGTCGTCGTGGGCGTCGCCTGCGAGGGTGTTAGAGGGTGGCCATGGATTGGCGGAGGAAGGGAGGAAGGGGGGGGAGGGGCTGAAGTGAGGGGTTAGGTTGGGGGACTCACCGAATCCGAACATAATTGCGGTTGATTTAAGAGGAGTGTTCTTAAAAGGGTATTGGGTATTGGAGGTAGAAATTGATAGGGAATATGAAGCTGATGATAGTTGATGATGGGAAGGAAGGAGGAGAGAGAAAGGACAGAGAGCAATGGGAGGAGGGGGGTATTTAAGCTGGAGCTGGAGCTAGAACGGCGGGCGGGCGGGGGGGCGGGCGGGCTTCCAATGAGATGACGAGGGAATTGAATCAGGACATCCCTCGGCCACCTTTCGTGACCCCTCGACAGCTGAAACTAGGGAAACGGCCAACCAGTCGTTGCGTGCCTTCAGCTGTACTCCCGCCCGTTGTTTGGCCAGGTGGATTATCTATGGGGTTGTATTATAGACTAATAGAATCCAAGGAATATGAGAAGAAATAGCACTTGAACTCGGTGGAGATGTCTGTCTCTCCACATACAGTAGTTAGTGATGCGATTCGATCGAATCTGCGTATCTGTATTATACTGCGTCATTCCACATTCTACGCTGACGGGCCACAAGCCATTCTTGGCTAAAGCTTAGCATTGCTTAGCATCTGTAGTCATGTGATAATATAAATGGCATCGCAACGTAAATAAAAATCACGTGTTGCCTATATTTAAGTTTGATATCACGTGCCATCAACCTCCCAACTCCACCATCTTTCATCCACTCCATTCCCAGCTCACTCAGGAGCCCTGAGCCTCGCAAAAATCAACATGCCGACCCTGCCAACACCCTCCCACTTCGCCTCCCACCCCTCCCTCGCATCCTCCCTCCTCATCACCCCGCCACCGGAACCCACCCCCACCCCCACCCCGCCACGCTCAGTCCTCATCCTCCTCCACGGCCTGGGCGACACAAACGCCCCTTTCCATAACCTCGCTTCCCAGCTCTCCCTCCCTCATGCAGCATGCATATCGCTGCGTGCACCGTCGCCTATCCCCGCTCTCATGACGGGGACGGACCAGACGGGCTTCCACTGGGGCGATGATCTGTCGCTGGATTCGCGGACGGGGGCGTTAGATTTCGACGCTGGGTTTTCGACGGCTGCGCGGCCGCTGGGGGACTTGTTGGGTGTGCTGCTTGGGGAGTGCGGGTTCGTGGCGCGGGATGTACATTTTCTCGGCTATGGGCAGGGAGGGATGGCTGCGCTGGCGGTGGTGGAGGCGTGGCCTGGAGTTGAGTTTGGCGGGGTGATAGCGATAGGAACCGGGATAGCGGGCTCGAAGAGCGCGATGGGGGAGGTGAGGGGGTATGTGAGTTCTCTTACCATCGGGGAGGGGAAGGCGAGGACGCCGGTGTTGGTGTGTGGGGGGAGTAGCGGGACGGTGGTTACGGCGGGGGTGCTGAGGGAGGTCAAGGAGAGGTTTGGGGCGGTGGAGTATGTGATGTGGGAGAGGGGTGGGGATGGGATGCCGAGGAGTAGGGGGGAGATGATGGTGTTGATGAGGTTTTGGGGGGGAGGATTAGGGGGCCGGTGCCGGAGGGGATGGAGGAGGTGGGTGGAGCTGCATAGGGCTGGTAGAATGGAGTAGGGGTTGGCGCTTTTGGGTATGGCAGGTGAGATTCGTGGTTCATGGCGTATGATACGTGGTATAGGAGGGGAAAAGTCACGCATAGCAGGGCGATATGGGCAGGAGGTGCTGCAAATAATACACACCTGAAGATCACAGGCTGTAATACCACTTTGATAGTTTGGCAGTAGCTACAACCACCTTCTATTGCCCCAACCATTACGCCACAACATGCCATATCCTAGTTTTCTACCCCATTTGCTCACTTTTTCAGCAGAACCAACATCTCTTATTCAACCCTCGCTCTCTTCGCCCCCTGATCATCACCTTCCTCACTCCTGCCATTCTCCCTCTTCCCATCCGCATTCTCCTCTCCCTCCTCCTTTTCTTCATCGCGGCCAATCCATTCTCCCTCAGGCGTGAAGAAATCTCCCACATTCTCAGCTGTGATCCAACCGCCGCTCCCCGGGAACGGTGGCGGCAGCCCCTCGTCACCAGGCAGACTGACCACGCCGGGTAGCCCCCTGATACCCTCATACCCGACCGAGCCCTCGAAAACAATGCGGTCTGTTTCTCCCATCTCTTCATCTGAGTCCGCAGCATCGGGGTGTAGATTCGAGCATGTTGATACAGCCGCGAAGAGGATCTTGATGGGCTCTTCAGTAGTGGTGGACTGGGGTTGGGTTGGGGGCAGGAGGATCAGCTCGACTGGATCCATCATCTCGTCCTCGTCGTTCGGCGGCATGAGGTCGAGTTGCATGTAGAGCCCCTGCACTGTCTCACCATCGGTTTCGGGAGTTGGGGATGGGAGGCGCTGGATGGCGTGGAGGGTTATGGATTGGTATGGGATTTCGACGCCGGTGGAGGTGGTTGCGGAGAAGAGGGTGAGGTTTCTAGAGGCGTTAGATTTGCCATGATGACGGCAGTCGTAGAAAAGGGTCTTACGAGCTGCTGACATAGATATCTACCGGGAACACCTTTTTAGCTGCAGACGGGGTTGCCGCATCGCCATTGGTATTCTCCTCGCCTTTGCCTCCGTTGGCGGCTGCCTGCGCAGTGGTTTCGACGATGTTTTGCGTCGAGGTGAATATTGGGAGAGCGGACAAATGCTCGGGCGCAATTAGAGCGCGCGCATTAGGGCCGTGGTAGTGGAGGACGGGTATTTCGCTGAAGAAGGTGCTCGGGGTGGTGGATTGGTGTTCGGTGAGCGGGGTGAAGGAGTCGAGGGATGGCGGGGCGTGGATGGTGGTAGGGAGTTGCATCTTGCTTGGAGATGAGGCGTTGGGCGCTTCGATCTGTAAACCCCCTTTGAAATTGAATGAAGAGGAGGAAGGTAGATCGAGAGCTAGTTTGCGACACCTTGTTTATGGCAGTTCCGTTGCTGTCGTGTTGACTTCATTGTCTGACTTCCCTGCAGCCACCTATATTTGTTATCTTATCAGATCGTGGTGTGGCATTAGCGCGGTTTCGACACCAATTCGTCACTGGCGGGCGCCAGTGCGATGGTGAATTTGTAGAGTTACATGCGTGCCCGGATCAGAGCTGATTTGTTTCTTCAATTGCAACATTAGATCCTCTGTATTGCTCCATATGCGACAACTAATCACTACAAGAGACTTTAGAAATGGCTACTCCTACTTCTGACACCCCCAATAAACCGCAGGACTTCGAAGAGACTGTGGGCCACGACCTTGCTTCAACGGAGCCAGCCCAACATAACGCCACAACCTCAAACTCGGAATCACTGCCCACTGAGACTGAGTTACCGGAAGAAGACACAGTAGCATCGGCGTCACGGAAGGGAAAAGAGCCCGAAGACACATCCGCACCTCCTCTCCCCGACGAAGAACCTCCCCTCCCCGACGAGGAGCCCCCAGCGCAAGAAGAGAAGGAAGACGACGGCTGGGCGCCAGTCTGGGACGCTACAGCGGGGTCGTTCTACTTCTACAACCGCTTCACACAAGCGACACAATGGGAAAACCCGCGTGTGCCCGACGCGACAGCAGCGCCTGCCGTAGCTCCCGGCGTCGATGCGCCTGCGCCCATACCGGAAGAAGCGCCTCCGCGGCCTGCTGCCGGTGGGTATGACCCTGCGATCCACGGGGACTACGACGAGACGGCGTGGTATGCGCAACCTGCTGAGGCGGATCCCGCAGCCGCAGACGCGAGCGTGGTCGATCCGACAGCGGCGTACGCGGCTACGGGTGCGTTCAACAGGTTTACAGGCCGCTGGCAGGCCACGGACTTGACGCCCGAGAACTTCAATGATGAGAACAAGAGTAAGCGGCAGATGAACGCGTTCTTTGACGTTGATGCGGCGGCGAACAGTCACGATGGGCGGAGTCTGAAGGCGGAGAGGAGCGGGAAGAAGCTCAGTAAGAATGAGGTGAAGCTGTTTAAGCAGAAGAGGAAGGCCAGGAAAGAGGAGAAAAGGAGGGCGTGGTTGTTGGATTGAAGGTACAAGGCTGGGAAGGGAAAAATGGAATGGGCAGTCGGTTTTTTCAGGGGCGTTGGATGCATAGTGCTTCGGCAATGGTTGGGTTTCTGCTGCGGAGTTTGCACATGGGGACACTTTCTTGTAATACCCGAGACGGCCTCGGATATATGGACATTAGGCTCAACTAATGCTCAGTGAGATGATGGAAGGGCATATATGGCGGTATCAGAGAGTTTATAGTGATACCAAAGCGAATACCTCCACCAACTTCCTCTGTTCTAAATGCACAACTATACAGTACAATGATGCAATATGACCCGTTTCCACCCCATTACTTCAAGCCACCACTTCCAACTGCATTCGCATTTGCAAGCTACTCCTTCAAACTCTAGTAATACAGCCTTTAGGACCCATGGAACTAGAACGTCCCCAATTCAACTTGCGGCAGTAGGCGAAGCTGATTGCCCGTAGAGAATAGCCGGCCTGCCGGCTCCTGCTCTTAACTACGCATGATTGATACAGACGCGTGGTTTCGTGCTTGTCAGTGACCGGTGGCCTCAAAATGCCATGTACCCATATCGACGGTACGTCGCGTTGAGCATGGCTCAGTTTGAAGGTAGATAAGCGACCCGGAACCCAATTCTCTACTGATCAACACGGCACCTAATGACAGCTATGCTTCGGTGCTTCAGCAGGGGCAGCCGGCTGGAAGTACGCCAAAGCCATTGGGAGTAGTAGGATGAGCACCGACACGAGTGCCCGGAGTAAATTGCGACTAGTGACGCCCTGCCGACGGAAGCTATCCATGAGCACCCACACCGTGATCGCCGAGAAAATTGGCTTCAGATGGCTGATGGATGCCACAGACGCGGAGCCAATGGAGGTGAGATCAAGGAGAGCCTGGCGTCGTTAGAAGAGGCCCGATCAAAAAGGGACGGGAACAGCTTACGGGAAGCCAGCAGCATGAGCTGTGGAGGAGTGCGGATAGAACTGGGGATATTGACGGGAGACGAAAAGAGAGACTCTCTTGATTGTTGGGAGAGTCAGGGGAGGGTGCATTGGCCTTGTTGGGCGAAGACGAGGACTGCTTCGGTTGGTCGCAGCACGAAGCCGTGGCTTTTGTTTTGGTATTAGACTTTGCCATGGTAGTGAGATAATACGGCAGATTAAATTGGTGGTCAAGTTTGAAGATTTTGCGATATGATACAGCTGGTTTCTTATAATGGGTGGTGGTGTCGAAAACGCGGAACTCAATATGTGTCTCGTTAACCGTCCATCCAATCAAAGCACCCATGTGGCTGATGCGCCTCACCTTTCACTAATCGTCGTAACCAACTTTTCGCTTCGCTCAAGGTTGGAGGAAGCGATCCGCGCGCACGAGAAATGGAGGGGAAGCGAAGTGCGCGCACGAGAAAAATTGTAGTCCTAAGTACCTCCCTATAGTAAATTGTATGTAAAGGTACAAAATTTCACCATTTTAAAAAATTATCATTTCCTCATTCCCATGATCACTCCCATTCCCGCTCCCATTTCCACTCCCATTCTCATATTCGCCCTCACTTTCGAGGGTTTCTGGATCAGGAATTGGGACCTCTAATTCCGGAGGAATTGGGAGGCCTAATCCCTGAAGAGTAGCCAGGCTCTTCTTCCGGAAACGCTCTTCTTTCCGGGCCTTAATTCCAGCCTGGTGGAGCTGCTTCTGGGCCTGGTTTCTAGCCTGGCGAGCCTCCCGGGCTTCTTTGGCTGCGAGCTTCTGGGCTAGAAGCTCGGCTTTCTGGGCCCGAAGCTCGTGGGCTTCGGCAGCTACGAGCTCACCTCCGTTCTGAAGCCGGGCCCGGCTTCGGCTCGCCCGCTTCTTCGACTCCTCCACCTGCCGCCGAGCCACCCGTAGGTCAAGTTCTTGGAGCCGGCCTACCGCCATAACCTCTTCAGCCCCAGTAAGCCAGTTCGTATAGCTCGTACGTGAGGGGCTACTAAAGGCCTCCGGAACCCGGTCTTTCCAGCGCTGTAGCCCCTCTTCAACCCCCCGAAAAGTGGAGGGTTTAGGGGTAATAGGCCGTATTGGTAAGGTAGGCGTAGGCTCTTCTGTAGGCTGGGTAGTAGGCTGCGAGTATGTACGTAGCTTCGTGAGGGCTGTATTACAGCTTATTGGCCAGATTCCAGCTTTCCGGAAAGCTGAGAGTATTGTAGACTCCTTAAAAGTCTGTTCCCGGATTTTGGTGAGATCTCTCATAAATGAGGGTAGGTCGTATGTAACGTCCATATTCCGTATGGCATAGAGCACAGCCTCTCGGTGCCAGTGCTTATATGGCTGGAATATTCCCACATCTAATGGCTGTAAAATGTGTGTAAGGTGTGAGGGAAAGGCGAAAACGATGATGTTATATTTGTCTGCTGTAATGATGAAATCATCGCTCGTATGGCTTATATGAGAATCAAGGAGTAGAACCCTGGGATTCCCATTTGCATATGGAGCTGTATGCACTGCAAAGTGCTCTAGCCACCGTAAGGCAAGCTGGCTATTCGAATAGCCAGTATCGGAGAGTAATATCAGTTCTTTGCCTTTAAGATTTTCTGGGTACCAAGAATCCATATGGATTTTACCCGGTACAATAAGTACAGGTGGAATTACTCTTCCTGTTGCAGATACTGTCTCCATAACTGTAATAGACGTACGATTCTCAGGGCTTGGAGTATAGAGTTCTTTTACTGCCTGTGGTACCATAACTCTCTCACCTCCAGGAATTCCAATCCTAAATCCCGTTTCATCCATATTCCAAATTGACTCCGGTAATATATTGCGATCCCATATAAATTGGAAGTATTTTTCAAACCATTCAATAATCTTAGATTCGTCTTGGGCTTTCGTACGCTGCTGTGCAATAGGCTTTGTAGTGATAAAATGGAATTCCGGAAGCTGATTCTGAATATATTTAGTAAGCCAGCTCTGTGACGGTGGAGGTAATGGGCTCCGGAGCTGGCAGACTGCAGTAAATAGCATATTCCTATTGGCTCCAAGCCCTAGGTAATATTGCTCGAGGATCCATTTCTTAAGGGCCTCTGCCTGAGCAGTAGAGAGTACCCTATTCTGCCCCCCTTTACATTGCTGTGGGTTCTGAATACGGCGCTTGATGCTTCCTCGTAGAGTTGATTCTGGGACCTTGAAAATACGACTAGCAACACGCCTCGACTCAGAAGGATTTTCTGCGAGCCACTCACGGGCATTTGATATAGGAGTCCCTTCCATTAAATGAATTACATCAGGTTACAATATAAATTACTATGTACAGCTATGGAAATGGTTTTGTTGAAGAGTAGCGGTGAACAGACGCACGTTTCTCGTGCGCGTACTTCGCTTCCCCTCCATTTCTCGTGCGCGCGGATCGCTTCCTCCAACCTTGAGCGAAGCGAAAAGTTGGTTACAACGATTAACTTACTGTAGCACCAAGTTATTTGTGCGCCTTAGCGTCTGTCACTGGCACCGAGTTATTTGTGCCCTTTCCATACGACAACATGGACGACGACACAGGCAGTGCACAATATTCATTTTAAGAGCAGAATGGACACGTAGCTTAATAGATTTGTGGGCTCATATATGGGGAATGTTGAATTCCGAGAGAAATCTTGTTTAATTGCTTGGTAAACCCGTCACTCTTGCATTAGCAATGAAGCTCGTAAATGTGAAGTTGCCAGGAAGCAAGAACAAAGACCCTACCCTGTTCACATCAAAATATGCTGCCATAATATTCCTGCCTTCCCTCGCTGCGGCTGCGCTCGAGAAAGTCGAGTGGTGCTGGCCCTATAAGCGCCGTGATATGTACCATATGATACAAACTATCAGGAACACCCTCAGGTCCTCTTGTGTTGAACATATTCTTATCCTCGAACAAATCCCAAATCTAAAGGAAAGGGCGAAGTCAATTGAACGCTCGTACAAAGGGAATAGAACACGGCTGGTACTTACCATGACACCTACATTCCAGATATCAACTTCGTAGCTCCATGGTATGTCCATAATAACTTCAGGGGCGTGGTACTGGAATGGCTGAATATCATCATCATAAGTCTGCTGACCTATTCTAGCTTCTCCAAAATCCGTAATTACTGGTCGTCCCGGATTTTTTGTAATCACCAGGCCTCTTGATTTGTAGATAATGCGGTCCCCATCGACTTTCCGTGGACTTGGATGCCTCAACTCGCTCCTCTCAAATTCCTCGAGGATGCAGTCATCCTCGATACCCAGGATTATATTTCTCTCCTATACGTCTACAAATCTGTTTCAGTACAGCGGTAGAAGTAAAAGTAATAATGGTGAACAGCAGAGCACTAGTGTTGTGATTGTCTTGTTGTTATTAGAGTGAAGCAATATACTCCGAGTGAGGTGCGCTAGCTAGGTAGGTAGCCACCGCACGCCTTAGGATTCAGGCCAGAGCAACCACCCCTTATTTTGACACACCCCTTTGTGTGCCTGAATCAGCTCTTTCCTAGACCGTGACCACCTTCATCTAGAGTTGTTGTATGAACTTCTTATGTTGTGTGGCGGGTAGTGGCCTGGTAAGTCCATCAGCTACCATGTTTAGGCTACGCACTACTCGCTCAATACTCGGCTCACTCGCTTAGTAGGTTACTCAGCTAGGTGAGTAGCTGAACCTTTTACTCGACTTAGTAAGTGAGGTTAATACTCAGTTACTCTGTAAAAACCTAGTGAGTACTCGGCTATCACGTGTAAGATATATGTATCATGTGAACAGTCCCTCATACGATTAATACTGTTTTATGGTTAAGTCAAAAGTTCCTACAGTTCCTAGGGCGGAACTTAGGATGGAACTGTGAAGACTGTTAGAACTCATACAGTTCCTACAGTTCCTACAGTTCCTACAGTTCCTTAGCTAGTCCTACTGCTTCGAGTATCAAAGTCTTCACATTATACTTCAGATACTTCTGCAGACTTGAAGGTCAGCCTCGGTTCGAACTGTCCTTACAAAAGTATGGCAAACAGCTTAATGCTACTTGGCAAGGTCAAGGCGGGTGCAAGGCCCCGCGAGGACAGCTATGTTGTAATGGTGGGTGCACCAGATGTGAGAATCTAGCCACCCAAGGAAGGAATGATTTTACTAAGACAACACACTGTCTTAGGAAACAGAGCCAAAGGGTTGTAGCTTAGACTATTCCACAACGCAGCAATCAGGTGTGTGATGTAGTGAAGTGGTTCAGACAAGTTGCAACAAATGTTGAGTCTGAGAACTCAGGGGTAAGTCAGAGGTTAACACCTCACTGAGTTTTCAGAAACAAGGAGTAACAAGATCAATGCTTGGAAGCTTGGAAAAGACGTGGAAGTATGTGGTAGTCGAATTACTGCATTGTCTGCTTGCCCTTTCTTAAGGAAAGGGCAATCCTATTTATGCTAAAGGAGTGTAGTTCTCTCATTTTCCAAGACTTTCCATGACTTACCAGGCTTGGTAACTGTAGTCAACGTAAGAGAATCCCATAGAACCATCTCTCGTTCGTAGCCTATAGGAAGTAAAAGGAGGTCCAAGGTCAGAGTACCCCTATAGACAAATTATGTCATAGACAAATTATGTCATAGACAAATTATGTCATAACTTAACCAATCTTGTGGGTAACTAAAGAGCGATGACGTGTAATGAATCATAGAGGTTCGTAGGAGCTTTTAGAGCTATCGTTCATGCTCCTAGGCCTCTAGTTGGTAGAGATATGTCATGTGGTAGTATGAGTGATGTCATGTAATGAATCATAGAGGGTTGTAGAGATATGCTATGTGGTAATATCGGCCCAGTAACTAAGGAGCGATGACGTGTAATGAATCATAGATGGTTGTAGCAATCGTTGAGTAGTATTGCTCTTGTTGTTGGTGTGATAAGCCAAAATATGTATAGTGACTTGTAGGTTTGAGGAGGAGATTTCCAAGTTTGCTCTTGAGTTTGATAGCAAACTGAGTGCAACGAATGTCAGTATGACATATGTGCCACGTTGAAGGGAAAAGAGAACTGGAGTATTACTACTCAGGATCTCGAGGAATTTCACTTGTCAAACAGAGAAGACAAGAACGACGACAAGGAGCTCACTAGTTCTCAAAAGCACCAGTTACAGGAACAACTGCCAGGAGCAGTAAGAACCTTCAAGGAAGCCATGCTTCAGCAGACAGTCGACCAAGGAATTCCTGTGCCCAAGTGTAATGCTGACTCTAAACGATAGAAGACACAGAGGTTTCTTGCATAAGGTTGACTTGACAGAGGAGGCAGGGGATTAAACACAAAGGCTTTCCAAGTAACACGTTACAGTATTGTAAAGAATACTATATTGAGTTGAGCACAAAGCTCCTATCTAAGGAAATACTATCTACTTATATAGTGGTGTCGTGCCAAAGGGATATCTGTGGATAACATGGATATCTACTCATAATACTATGTCTGCGTGGAGGGCAGATGACTGAGTGACTCAACACACGCAACTTCTTACACTACGCGAGGCAGATAACCTACGGTCTATAATGCAATCACGGAGAGCACAGAGCAAAAGGAAACGCGCAATTTTAAAGGGCCAATTCCACAGAACTACGGAGGAATTACGCTCCCAAGTCATCGAGGCCGAGGAGGCCACCCAACAGAAAGCGACCACCAAAGGCAAGACAGCGACAAATATCACTGTACCCGACCAAACTAAGGATGTCGAGGAGGAAGATGACCCAGAATAAGTATACGACTGCATTATAGTTGAATATTGAAGTAGTAATACTCTGTTTTTCGCTTTCTTTGTGGTTGGTCTTCCCCCACTATCCCGTTTACGCCATTCTCCCGGTTACGCCACGACTTACGTTACTCCAATTGTCGCGGTTGAGAGGATTATACCTCTGTGTGCTTTTTCGCTACGTCGTTAGACTCCTTTCAGTCGCTATGACATTCTGTCAACGTGCCTTCAACTCTCTCTTTAAAGGCTTCAAACCACTTCCGATACCGCGACTCTCCGCTATCCAATTCCAGTCCTGCAGCCATCGCCTTGCATTCACGTCAACAAACGCATCGTCAATTCATGACATGTCCTCCAATGCTCCCAACGCTCCTGCGCCTGATTCTCTGGACAAACGGAGTAGAACTGGTGTCACGCCAAAGATTGAACCCCTACAGAGTGGCACGAAACTGGTTGGTCAATCCGGGATGCAGTACCGGATTGATTGAATGCTCCAACACAGGAGGGATCCTATATTAGCTTGTGTTTACCTGGCCGTGTACGTACGCTTTGAAACCCCAATAGCTTATTTTGCTAATCTGCCATGGTCAACAGTGCTAAAGATGAAAGGAAATACATCCTCAAGAACATCTTTCATACCAGTGTTGCTAGTAGTTCAAACAGTTCAGTTCAGTTCAAATTTGAGGCTGAACTGAACGCCCCACAATATGAAAATGCGTGAACTGAACTGAACGCCCCACTTTATGGTATTGAACTGAACTGAACTGAACTGAACTGAACGAACGCCAGTTCATTAAAACTATTTTGCTGTCATCTAGGAACCTGCAAGCCAAGTAGTGCAATGGCTTCCAAGCCAGCTCTTTAGACATTCTAATGCCTCAATGGTCTCTGCACCTAGCCTATTTCTTCTCTCTGTAACTGTAATTCCGGCACCTGAAAACAGACGTTCTGGCTCTGCTGACATAGCTGGTATTGACAATATATCAAATGCCATAACTGATAGATTTGGATACGTTGCACGCTGTGTAGGCTCCATCCACCAAGTGATAGAATCCACCTCAACGGGACAACAAACCCCTTGGCAATATCGTGAATATTCATCAACTATAGGTGCTTGTCTTGCCTTCTCAGCTCTCCACTTTGCAAACCCAGTCTTTGGCGTGAGCGGAGTTATTGGAAGTATAACTTCTGTACTTTTGTACTGAGATTGCCAAAAGTCCTGCACTGTCTTCTTTGCATCCGCTACCCAGATAGGGTCCCAGTTGTCTTCGAAATAGCTCCATTTTTGACTTGGAATGAGAATCATTGCTGCAATGTATACAGGGCTTCAATCTGTAAGGCTATAGTACTTATCCAGCTTTGCCCAGCCAGAGTTAATGCAAGTAATCATAAATGAATCTGAAGCGTAGGTTGTCTTGCCATCTTCAAGCTTCTCTAATATATAATTCATAGATGGTAGGACTCTTTCCAAAGTGGCACTACGGCCTTCTGTAGCTTTTGTAGCTTCATAAAAGTCTCCAAGAAACCCATGAATGTTACTTAAATTAGCCCAATCAGAACTAGACAATACATCGCCTACTAAATCACCTCCTACTTGAAAGCAATATAGGTCGATAGCAGGTTTAACGTCTTCATGAAGAGCTGAAGTTATCATTGAAAACCAAGAGTTCCACCGTGTCATATTGTCTCGAAGTAATCGACGTCCTTGACTGAGTTTCTGAAAGGCTAATCACCGTTGTGGAGACCTTTGAATATAAACTACAATGTTATGTAACTTTCCAAGAGGGCCTTTTCGACGCCAAGTCTCCATTTCCAGCTGTGTAGGAATATACGAAGAACTTAGGTTGTTTGTCTCTGAAAGAGCTTCATCTTCAGTTGAGAAAAGAAAAGCCTGAGCTGTAAGATTGATAATGTGGCCATTGCAGCGAAGACGGTATTGCTTTGCATTATATGGAATATGGCGCTCCTCTAAAGCTATACTAGTGTTAATATTAATAGTATAAATATAGGAGAGAGTACTAACTAGCTGAAAGACTCTGCATCATCGTCTCGTTGTTTTCTGCATTATCCATCATAAAATACCCAACTTTACTTGCAATTCCAAACTCATCAATCACTTTTAGAATGAGCTGTGGTTGGTTTGCCCCTGTATGCTGACCTTCTAATTCTCGTAGCGCTAGAACTGACTCTCGAAGCTGACCATCTTCTGCAAAGTAATGGGCTATTATTCCAAGTAGAGCGAGGGAGTTTGTTGACGTCCACAAATCAACTGTAAAATGAACCTTTGAAATAGCCCCATGGACAGCTTGTTGTACTCGACGTTTCTCTACACGAAAGGACTCCATAGTCCAGTTACGCACAGTTTCATGGTTAGCTGGAAGTGCACTCTCAGCTTCTGGGTTTAGAAACATAAGAAGCTCTCGGAATTCTGGCCTTTCTGACATTCGTAGAGGAAGAGAACAGCGTGCAATCCATCGTATAAAGAGCTGTTGAAAAGTTGCAATATCAAAAGACGTGTCAAGCTTACGACGCTTCGTGTAAAGCAAGGCCTCTTGACCTCGTTCAAAAGCCTCTGCAATTGACATGGTTTGTGCAAGCAACTTAGTCCCTTCCTTTGGATCCGTAATAGAGTGACACTTTAACAAGTGCTTCTTTGGGCCTCTCGTTCCACCTGCCTCATGATACTCCTTCTTGCAAATCCCACAACGCCAAACAATCACTTGTTGACCATTGAAGTATACTGTATTTGGATCACCTGGCATATGCGACCAGATAAAGGAAGTGCGAGAGCGCTTCTGGTTTGAAGTAATGGAGCCGAGTTGTGATGATGAAGATTGACAATCAAGGCCTGAGCTAGCAACATCTTGGTTTAATAACTTAGATTGTATACTAGGTGGTAGTGATTGCTCAGTTGAAGCCTGTGACGACATTTTGGTAACTTATCAAATGTAACAAAATTGCGCCCGTGAGCATCCAAAAGTCCCGGGGAAAAAAAAATCAGCGCTAAAAGCTATGGTAATATATTATGTCTGGCCCACTATTAACCCCCCAAGAACTGTCAGTTCGTTCAGTTCAAAACAGTCAGTGCGGACAACTTGAACTGAACGCCCCACTATATGAGAACTTGTGAACTGAACTGAACGCCCCACTTATAAAAGCCGAACTGAACTGAACTGAGCCGATTTGAACTGATGAGCCGATGAACTATTAGCAACACTGTTTCATACCGAGTTTGAGTATCAGCTCAATATGCAAACTCCTCTTAGAGACTGCCCTAATCTACGAGTCGTTATCGACACTGTTCCCGAGCACCTCCTGTTTGTCTATAATTACTGCACTGATCATCTTCTGAAACTGGCTGAGAAAGAGAATCTTTCTGGCGCAACAAAGAAGAGAATATTGCGGGACGCATTAGTTGGACTTGCACGTTTGCATGAACAGAATATTTTACACGGCGGTAAGCAATCGCCCGGGACTGATCGGTCTCTTGGAGCACCTAGATGACTCGGTTGCTCCGTGGCGTGACCTCGTCCTGGCTGTAGTCCCGGAGTTCACAACTACCCACGAAAACCCTTCTCCATGTGGGAAGATGTTGACGAATGCCTTCGAGATGTCATCACGAAGATGATGAGTCTAGATCCTTCGAGAAGGATCACGGCCAGGGAGGCTCTTGAGCACCCTTGGTTCCAAAATGTATAACATTGCATTTCGCGAGGCAATTAGGACAAATTAACTGGGCCATCGATGTGTGAGAATTGCCGAGGAGAGTTCCTAGCCAAGGATATGGACAGTCTCGTGCCATGAGTTGGTGTTGTAGCATTTTGAGCATCATTAGAATGACGTTGCTTCTTTCGCGGTACTTCGGCTGCCTTGTCATCCCCAATCTGTATAGCACTCTCTCGAGGTAAAAAGCTCAAATGCTGAGCTTTTTACCTCGAGAACCATTGTTTGGCCTCTTCCGTTGTAAACAAGCCACCTTGCCATGAGGCCGATCGTCGTCTCCAGTATCTGATACCAAGATAAATGACATGTTGTCACACTTAGTCCTTCCTTTGAGACAGTGCGACGGGTTATCGGGAGTGTAGAAGCTCAGCCCGAGGCAGATTTCGGAATCGACCAACCGATCCGCGTTTTTAAGCGCTCTTGGGCCCTTCAATGGTCTCCACAAGTGGAGAAGTGTAGGCCAAAGTCCAGGTAAAAGCAGCGATGGTCCCAGAGTGAGAACAGGGAAGCGGAAGGCTGACAACGGGGGACGGTTTTGGTGGTGGTCTTGGCGCGAAGGCGATGGCAGCTCAAGGAGAACTGGGCATCCCGTCAGCAGAAAAACACAATATTATCATATACACATTCCCATCCTATCTTACTCATATTTTACAGCCACTAGATATAGGGATCTTCTAGCTATATAAGCACTAGCATAGAGAGGCTGTGCTTGCTGCCATACATGATATAGACATATGACCTACAGTCCTTTATGAGGGTTACCAAAATGCAGCTACAGACTTTTAATGTCTATAATTATATTAGCTGTTCCTATGCCTGCACCTACGCCTCTACCTATACGGGTTTCTACACCAAAACCCTCGACTTTTAGGGGGCTTAAAGAGGGGCTACAGTACCAGAAACAACGGGTTGAGGGAGAGCTACAGGGATTGGCTCATAGGAACGGAAGAGGTTGTAGTAGGACGCCAGCTTCAAGAGCTTGACCTATTGGCTTTTCGACGCTGGGTTAAGGAGTCAAAGAAGCGGTCGAGCCGAAGCCGGGCTTGCTTTTAGTTTAGAGGTGAGCTTACGGCAGCTCACGCTCAGAGGGCGAGGGCGAGAGTGGGGGAGAGGGTAGGAGTGGAGCGAAGAAGTGATAATTTCATAGAATGGCTTAATTATGTACCTTTACATACAAATTACTATGGAGAGGTACTTACAGTCGCAATTGTGACGAGCCGCGTATTGCTTCCTCTCGGGTTGGGCAGCCTCGTATTGCTTACTCCAGCCTTGAGCGAGGCGAAAAGTTTGGTCACGACGATTACGCTTTATAAATAATCATGATTATGATTACGAAACACAGGTCCCACGGCGGAGGCCAAAGAAGGAGAGGTTCTAGAAGGAGGACGGACCCCTGTGGGGAGCAGGGCCACCATATGAGAAGCTGCTGGAAATCTTTTATGAAAGCTCAAGGGTACGGATATGAATCTTTACAGGGGTGGTGCAGGATATATATATAGATCTTTTGCCCAATTAAGTACTACCTTGGTGTGACATGCATACAAAGTGTACTTCCTGCCGCCGTTTGTTTCTCATCTCCAGCCAGCCAAATATATCTCTCTCCGTGTGCTTGTCAATAACTTCATTCTTCCCCTTCAACCTCATTCATGATTTGACTCAGATGCCTTTAGAGCACCCCGACATCGACGACAACGACGACAACGGCGACAACGACGGAGACGGCATGTCTCACCGCGCCACGGCCACCAATACTCCGCCCCAGCTGCAATTTCAACCATCTCCACCACCAACAGCACCACCACAACCCAAGTCCGGCGCCGCGCCCATGCATATGCTATTTATGGATCCGCCAACAGCGTCGCATCGCGACGAAAACCGGGAGCCAACGGCAGCATCGCCCATTGCCGCGCCTCTCACCACCAGCGGCTTCCTCAGCAATCCCAATACCACCGTCCGGACCCTCTTCAGCAGATCCACGCACCGCAGCTACGACCCCATTGACGGCAGCCACCGCGACGCCGACGGCTTCAGCGCCAACACCAGCCCGCTCCTGACAACCAGCGAGGGCAGCAAGGGGTACGACTTAGCCAGCTTCAGGCGGAGATTACACATCGACACCACCACCAGCCCCGCACGCTTCGAGATCGACGACAACGACGACGCGGTCACGGCGGGCACCGCGTTACTACACGAACCAGTCGTTAGGAGGGCGAGCACGCGCGCTGTCCGTGTCCGACATCCTACACCGGGACTACAGACGCTACAGGGGGCGTATACAGCGAACGTGGTGCAGTTAGAGCGGTCGGCGGAGAAACTCAGCATGACGTCCAGCATTGGGGACTCGATCCGCAATGCGTACGAGGAGGTGAAGAAGTTGGATAGCAGGATGAACTCGCTCCGCCAGTCGTCGCTGATGAGCCTCGTCACCGACATCCCGTACGAGGGCGTGTCAACATCGACACAGCTCACGAGCGCGGTGGAGGTTGCGAGCCCGACGTTTCCGACACGGGATACCAGCTCTTCGCATTCGACGACCTCGACTTCGATCCTGGATGTGAATAACGCGACGAGATCGGGGGGTTATTCGCCAGGGGGTGCGGTTATACTTGGTGTGAGGCCGAGGGCGGACTCGAAGACGTCAAAGTATGGGACACGACCGGAGCCAGAGATGGAGGGGCGGCAGCTGAGTGAGTTTGTGTCTTCGCGAAACAACTCATACCTGTCGTCGCGGAACGTCTCGGGGGCACCGTCGATCGCGGAGAAGGAGGAGGAAGCAGCAGTCAGGAGGCCGTTGGCTGTCAGGAACCTGTCGGCTGATGATATTGATGTTGATGAGGAGAAGACGGATATAGGACTGAATAAGATTGTCCCAGACGACTCACAGTCGAAGATGGAACAGGCACAGGAGCTATTCGACGACTTCGATGGGCAGCATTATGCGAATATGGCTGGACCATCTGCTCCCCCCCCACCTCCGCCTCTAGCAACGGAACCAAGGCCGGATATCCAAAAACGAAGGGATTCATCTGCAAATACTCTGTCGATGGCAAGACCTAAATCATATGCCGATCCGCTCACAGGACAGCAGATGGTATTCTACCCTGCGCCCGTCCCATCAATGCTCATGCTCCCCCAAAAGCTCTCCAACCGCCCCTCCCCAGCCAAGAGAGAAAAACGCCGCACCCAAGCCTTCAGCAGCCTCCCCCCACTAGCCCTCCAATCCGCACCGTGGCTCCAAGACGTCGTCGAAGGCCAAACCGAACATCCCGAACAAGTCCCCGACGAAGTCCTCGATGCCGAATACCTCGCCCAGCACCACAAGCAAAAAGTCGGCGGCCGCCGCTCCACCCAAGACCTCCTCCACATGCCCGAACACCTCCGCGCAAACGAGTACTTCGAGCAGCCACAACCCAACCAACTCGTCGAGATCAAAGAACAATCCGCCGTCGCGACACTCGACAACATCCTCGACGCCTCCGCCTACGCTCCCGTCTCCGCCTTCACGGATCACACCTACGCGGGGCGCCTCGGCGCAGAAGTCTACGGCGCCCACGACCCCCGCAGCACGCGCACCAAGAGCCAGCTCGTCGTCCCCGAAGCGCCCAAGAAACGCGTATCCTCCTTCTTCGGCCTCGGTCTCGGCGGCGGCGATAAGAGCGACCGCGCCCGCAGCTCGACTGTAACTAGCATGCTCGGCCTCGACAAAACACCCTCCTACACCGCCGTCGCCGAGGATGCCCACTCCCCCTGCCTCCCCCCCTCCCCCTCCAACGGCCTCGACGGCGACGGATTCGACGGCGACGCCGACCCCTCCGCCCCCCCTTTCCCCCGCGAGCGCGACCACGACGACGCCTACATCGGCGCCCCCACCACCCTCCTCGCCGAGTTGCAACTACGCAAACAACACGCCAAAACACGCACCCAACACCCAGCCCAGCTAGCCGGCTCGCGCTCCACCCTCCTCGAACTCGACGCCGTCGCGCTGGTCGAATCGAAAGCCCGGCAACAAAAACGCGTCACCCTCGCCTGGCAGGACCCGCACCCTGAAGAGGAGGAGGGGGACGATGATGTGCCCCTGGGGGTCCTGTTCCCCGGGCAAGCGCTGCAGCAGCTGGATCGCGCGGCGAGGCCGATGGGGTTGATGGAGCGGAGGGAGTTGGAGGATAATGAACCGCTTAGTCAGCGACGGGAGAGGCTGCTTGGGAAAGGGGGGTTGCAGCGTGAACCACTCCGTCGGCATACACCTGAGCCTGGGAATGCGACTCCTGAGCAGGCGGCGGAGGACGCGAATCCCCTCCCCAATGCAAGGCCGGTGAGCGGAGCGTTCTCGCTGGAACTGCTGAATCAGTTTGGTGATCCGTCATCCCCGGACGTGGCACCGGAGGGAGAGGAAGAAGAAGAAACCCTCGGACAACGCCGCCGTCGTCTCCTCGCCGAGCGCGAAGCCGCTGCTGCCTCCGCCGCCGGGGCACGACCAGCACCAAAGCAGCGCCGCAGCATGGCCGACATCCTCTCCGCCCACCCCGCCGCCAGTCGGGGCGAGTACCCCCATCTCGCTGAGCACCTCCAACAACAACAGCAGCAGCAGCAGCAGCGCGGCGCGGGGCATCGGCAATCAGTCTTCGCCGCACCGCCGGTGTACCCTGAGATGGGAATGAACTACCAAAACCAGGTCGGTGGCGGGATGGGGAGCGGGATGACTGGCCGCGAGATGCTGGAGCAAATGAAAGCTATTCGTGCTAGACAGGCGCAGCAGGGGGGGTGGGGAGGGCAGGTGATGTGGCAGGGGGGGATGGGGGGGATGCAGCAGCAGCAGCAGGGGGGGGTGGATATGGTGGAGAGGTGGAGGAGGAGTGTTATGCTTCCTGGGGCGTAGGTGGGGGGTGTGTGATATATGTGTGATGTGGTGGTTTTTTGCTGGGGCGGGTTTTGGGAGGGGGATAATATAGACGGGTTGGGTTGGTGCATTGCGTGGGTGGGATGTGGATAGGGTTTCGAGCGGATGTAATGTTTGTAATAGAGTAAAAATTAATATGGGAATACCTGTATCTGAACTACGGATCATGGTGTATGGTGGTAATGTTGGAGTTGGGTTTGGTGTGATTGTACAATTAATTATTGATCATCTATGGGGTATATCTAGTCCCACCCATCCGCGGAGCCTCTTGTTGCTCCCGCTCATGATTATTTCGTGCAACGCCAGTAACCCATCCCATTCTCATAACCAGAACACAATTATAGGTAAGTAAAGGGTATCCAAGCTCTCTCCGTTTATTCCGCGCCAGTGGTTGGTCTTCTCCCCGGTTTCGGTTCGGTCGTATCATCAAATATCTTCGCTGCCGACGCCACTTCCTACCTCAGGATGCCGTACTACTGAGCCGCCAGACATGAAGCTGCCGTTAGACAGGGACACCCAGCTCTCGCTCGGGGATAGTGAAGCGTTTGGCGATCTCCGTCCGCGCGGCGTACTCACCCGCGATATCTGTATTCCCAACCCTCCATACGCCATCCTATCATCACCACCATCAAATCTCGCAACCGGTTCTCTCCTCACCGACCCCTCCCTCCTCCCCAGCTCCTCCTCAACCCCCTCCTCCTCGTCATCATTCTCATCCTCCTCCTCCATCTCACTCTCACTCTCACTCTCACTCTCACTCTCACTCTCACTCTCACTCTCACTCTCACTCTCACTCTCACTCTCACTCTCACTCTCACTCTCACTCTCCTCCCCCCGCGGGCCCCCTCCTAACGGCCTAACCCCCCTCAAAACCTCAGCAAACAACCCCATCAACCCCCTAAACTCCCCCTCCCCCACCGCCCCCCCGAAAACCTCGCCTCCTCATACCCCCCCACAAACTCCCTCCACGGCACCCCCGCATCAAGCACCTTAAGCTCCAACAACACAACCACATACTCCCTCAGCCCCGCACTCGCGCGCCTCGGCAACAAGGCTAAACTCCCCGCCGTCGCAGCCGACAGCGCTACCGCCTTCGCTTCGATAAGATGCGGGAGCTCCGCTATCACAGGCGCATAGTGCAAGTTCGGCAGATCGGGGGACGTAGGCGGTGACCAGCCCGCGTGCGCGATTGGGCCCCACACCGGGTCAGCGGTAGGCATTAGCGCCGCGTCTGCAGCTTCTGCTTCGCGCCGCCGCCGTCGCCGTCGCCGTCGTCGGAGGAGTCGGTATGTGTGTTGTGCCAGACGCCGGGATGTGGGTTCTATAGTCGCGGACGGGAGGGGACACGCGAGCCCGATATCGACAGCTGCTGTATTCGTAGCCGGAGTGTGAGGTCGCGCGTTCCAAGCGACGAGTGCGGATCGACAGAGCGCGTCGCGGATTAAAGCGTGTACCTTTGGAGGCAGGTCGGCGGGTGTGAGCGGGAGGTAGGGTTTCGGTATCGAAGCGAGGATGGTGCGTGTTGTGTAGAGGCGGGAGGCGTAGAAGAGGAGGGCGAAGAGGGCGGTGAGGAAGTAGACGGAGGCGATTACAAAGACGTTGTAGAGTTGGCGGTTGGTGAGGGCTTGGCGGATGGCGTCGGCGGGGGGGATGATCAGGAGGGCGAGGAGGATGAGCGCGAGGAGCGTGTAGAGGGTTGTGTAGAAGATGCCGAAGAGGCGGGGGGTGCGGGGGGTGCGGGCGCGGGCCATGGTGTGGGCGAGTGGTGGTGCATTATTGGGGGGAAGTGGGAGGTGGGAGCATCGCAGGGTTGGTCCGGGGGTTGGAGGTCGCTGTCGCGGTCGAAGGTGAGGCTGGATGGGAGATTGGAGATGATGCTCGAGAGGGGAGGATAGGTGGTGATGGCGGGTGGGTATGCGTCGTCTTTGGTGGATATAGGGATGTGAGGTTCTAGACTCTAGGAGTGAGTATCCTATATCCAAGATAATAGAAATGCGCGGGTTGGTATTTCCATAGGGTGAGTTTGGAAAGGATTGGGCGGTGGTTTGGGTTGGGCATGCGTTGTTGTCGAGCTTCACAATTTGGTCCAGACCAAATATTGGATGACTAAGCCGACGTCGGCAGCGTAACGAACAATGATTAAATTTCAGCAGCATACTTTTCATACCTTCAGATATATAAATGCCTACATCACTCCCGTGATATCGTAAATCCCCCAAAACAAGGATAACTTTGCTACCTTTTGGGCAGAGTTCCAGAGACTCACTGTTGAACTGGATTACTCAGAAGAGACCCTCATTGATGACCTCCGCCATAAGGTTAATATGAAGATGCAGACTGCTTTAATAGCAGAGATAAATCCAAGCTCTCTTCATGCCTTTGCACAAAAGTGCTTACTGATTGATCAGAATATCCAGCAACTTCAAATCCAAGATGCTCGCACTGTCCCTCGAGTTATTCAGCAAGCCTTTAAGCCACAAGACTTTCACAGTAAGGCTAAGCAGCCTACTACAAACCCACCTGCTGGCTTTAGACCACCAAGACTATATCGTGCACCACATCAGAACCCTGCAACTGAGAAGTTAATGCAGGAAGGCCGCTGCTTCCATTGCCAGCAAACTGGACACCGAGCTTATGAATGTCCTACCAAGAATGCTCAAGTCCACGAAGTTAGCACTTATGATGCTCCACTTTGGGAAAAAGAATAACCTTCAGACAAGATGTCACTAAAGGTGTCATGACAGCCAGAATTGCAACTTCTTCCTCAAGCTTTGGATTAGATCCAGATACTCCATTCATAGTTACTTGTATGATAGGAAAATCAAAAATCAAAGCACAAGCTCTTATCGATACTGGAGCTACTGGAGGAAACTTTGTGAATGCTGTTGACGCAGAACGAATTTGTGAGATAGAAGGCATATCACCAGTAGAGCTTTTAAAGCCACGCAGAGCTTTCTATAAGCGCGTTGAGCAGTAAAGCGACGGTCTGGATCACTGAAGACTCTGTCTAGGACTTCAAACATTTCCTCTACAGTTTGAAACTTGTTCTGAGTAGATCGAAGGCGTTGATTGATGTGAAAGGCTTGCTGAATAACTCGAGGGACAGTGCAAGCATCTTGGATCGAAGGCGTGGATTGATGTGAGAGGAGGCTCTGAGTAGATCGAAGGCGTGGATTGATGTGAGAGGAGGCTTTGCACATAACCCATCTGAAGGGCTGGAGTAGGAAAATGGTCAAGGTTCGCCTCGAGCTTCATCTTTATCTTAATGCTCCAATCGTCATAAGCTGGCTCTATTCCGTCTGTGAGAGTAGGAGGGTCTGGGATCTTAGTAGATTTCTGGTGTGATTCTCTATTGCGAGTAGTGCTGCTTTTTGACTTCTCATTTTCAAGATATTTCACAACAGCAGCTTGTCCTGCCATTGTCTGCTCATGAGCTTGGATAACCTCTTGTAGCTGGCTGATATTGTCATCATATCCTTCTCCTCTCGACTCTTCTGGAGGGTAGTATTGTAGAGCTGGGTGATGTCATACTGACATTCGTTGCACTCAGTTTGCTATCAAACTCAAGAGCAAACTTAGAAATCTCCTCCTCAAACCTACAAGTCACCATACATATCTTGGCTTATCACACCAACAACAGAAGCAATACTACTCAACGATTGCTGCAAACTCTTCTACTACATCTGTTTATGCTACATACATCACGGCATATCATTTGGACACTCATTGAACAAGTTATTAAGAAAATCTCCTCCTTAAGGGGGTGGGCCAATACTACCACATGGCATATCTCTACCAACTAGAGGCCTAGGAACATGAACGATAGCTCTAGAAGCTTCTACAACCCTCTATAAAGTGTCCAGCTAAGGGGTCGTCATGCCAAATCTTGAAGATTTCCATACGTACTGCCTGATTAGGAGGCACGTAGGCCGCTCCCTTAAAGCGTAGGATGCCTGCATCGTCTACTCTCCAGCCTGAAGAGCCCTTCGCTCGCACCGACCCCACGTCCTTGGCCCTGTGAACAGCGAGCTCGTCAGCCGCCTGAAGGGTTTTGATCAAGTCCGCCAAGGGTTCGGTCGTGGCGCTATAGGCGCTCTCTCCCTGAGCCATAGCTGCTACCATGACTCGAGGGACAACGAGACCTGGACTCTTGGTGTCCTTATTTCGGTCTTTGCCCGATGTGACGCCTACTTCTTGTAGGTCAGCCACTACCCGCCTGATCTGCGGGGCTTCTCCTGCCTGTATGGCTTTCTGGAGCTTGCTCTGAAGGGTAGGCAACATAACGTTCTGGCTACCCTTCTCTTCCTCGTAGTCTGGTCTTCTCGACGGCCCGTCTGCAGGATTCGTCTTTCCAGCCCGATAGGATATGTGGAAATCGTAGGCTGACAATGCCTGTGCCCACCGCGCTTGCCTCCTTGTGAGGGCGGTGGTTTCCATGAAATATTTCAGGTTGTTGTGGTCCGTCAGGACCTCAACTGGGTGTTGGCTACCCTCTAGGTAATGCCTCCACTGTTCGAAGGATCTCACGATCGCCAGGAGCTCCTGGTCGTGGACCTTGTAGTTCAATTCGGCCGGTTCCAGCTTCTTGCTGTAGAACGTGACTGGGTGCCATACGCCCTTTCCTTCGAGCTGGTCTACAAACTGGGACAGGTTTCCAGCAAGGCCAAAGCCAGAGGAGTCCGTCTCCAGCCTGATTCTGCGGCTTGGATCGAAGTGGACCAGCGTTGGGGCTGTAGTGAAGGCTTCCTTCAAGCGGTCGAACGCGCCCTGCTGTTCTACGCCCCAGATAAAGGGTCCTGTTGGCTTTCCTGCCTTGGCCCCCTTCATGAGGCCAGTCAATGGGGCCACAACAGAGGAGTATTGCTCAATAAAGCGCCGGTAGAAGTTGGCGAAGCCGAGGAATACCTGGACCTCTCGGTGGGTCCTTGGTATAGGCCACTCAGCTATCGCAGCAACCCGGTCGCTCTCCATGGCAACCCCTTCTGTTGTGACGATATACCCAAGGAAGCTTACCTTCTTGGTATTGAACTCGCACTTCGAGAGCTTCACGTATAGGTTCGCCTCACGTAGGCGTCCTAACACCTCCCGTACGTGGTTGGTGTGATCCTCCTCCCTCTGAGAGTAAATAAGGATATCGTCTAGGTATACGACACATATAATGTCTACGAGCCCTTCGAGAGTCTCATTCATATAGGCTTGGAACGTGGCAGGCACGTTGTCCAAGCCAAAAGGCATCACTTTGTACTCAAAGTGTCCGTAGCGAGTACGGAAGGCAGTCTTCCACTCGTCGCCTGGGCGAATACGGATCCTATGGTAGGCATTCCGGATGTCGAGCTTGGTGAAGCTCCTCGCTCCCTGGAGTCTATCTAGGGTCTCCGTGATCAACGGCAATGGGTGTCTATTCTTCACTGTGATGTTATTCAGATCCCTGTAGTCTACACAAAGGCGTAGGCTGCCGTCCTTCTTCTGGACAAACAGAATAGGCGCACCTGCTGGGCTCACGCTCCGTTGGATCCAGCCCTTCGTCTCGCTCGATTGGAGGTATTCGCGGAGCGTGGCCAGTTCTGTCTCGGAAAGGTTGTATACTGGACCGTAGGGTGGTTCCTGGGTTCCAGTATCGATACCATGGGTCTTCCTACCTAGTTCGGGTAGGTCTTCTGCCCGCTCCTCGGAGAAGACATCAGCGTACTCCTCGTACTCTCTTGGGCACTGGGTGGACGATGCTTCTTCTGAGGTCAGGGCCAGGACAAAGGCGGCATCGCCTTCGTCTAGGCCCTCTATATCCGCAACTACTGCCTTCGCTATATCGAAGGGGTGGCGCCAGATCTGGGTCCGCCAATCAATCTGGGGGTTGACCTGTACAATCCAGTCCATTCCAAGGATAATATCCACCCCTGGGGTGTCCATGGAAAGGAGCGTCTGGTTGACGGTCGACTCCCTTCGAAAGTGGTCCTGGGCCCTAACTTTTGTGGTTGCTGTCCCGTATATGACGACTTCTTTGCCGTCGACAGCCTTCACTCGGGGTGGGCCTTTGTCTCGGCACTCGAGGCCTACGTCCTTCGCAAAAAGAGGGTGGATCGTCGATGCGTCCGACCCTGAATCGAGGAGGGCCTTGGCCTTGTGCCAGGTCGGCCCTACCTGTAGCTCCACGTCGATTTCCATCCTTTTTCTAGGCGTAAGTCGTGGAGCTCCGGCTGGGAGTCACTCCTTCTTCTGGATATCCAGTTTCCTCACCCCAAGGCCTGTATATTGGCCCTGGCTACGGCATTCCTTCGCGAAATGGCCTGCCTTGCCACAGTTGTAGCAGCTCCCGCTTGGAGCTGGCCTTGGGTCCCTGCTCTGGGTAGGTGTCTGCCCTCTTGTTGTAGGCTGGTCTAGATTCCGGCGTCTGTTCCAGGGAAGGGTTCTCTCTCCTGGGGTGGTGGACCGAGATCCCCGGTTGCTGCTGAAACTGCCCCTTCGGTTCGGGAAGTTGCCCCGAGGGGAGCTTCTTCCCTCCTTAGGCTTGTCTGAGGTAGGAGCCTTCTCTGTGACCCAACGGTTGGTCATTTCCAGCATCGCTAGGATATTGACGACAGCCTCCCTGTGGGTGGAGGAACGCTCGGCGTACCCTCCCTCAAGGAGCCGCTGCCTCATATCTGGGTGGATCTTCGTCAGGAGGTGGGTGGTCCTTTGGGACTCGGTATATGGTTCTATTTCCCGTTCCAATTCCTCAAGGTACGTGATGAACTTACGGATACCCTGTCCCTTGCGCTGGTGGGCACCGTTATACTTAAGGGCCACAATACGCTGTCGGTTGGCTGGGTCAACGTGGAGGTTGCGGAGGAACTCCTCGAACCCAGCGATATCCAAGGAGTCTGCGAAGCCCTCATCCTGGGAGGCGCAGCGGTTGTCCCATTTCTTTATAGGGTCACCCTCGAGGTATTGGGCTGCAAAGGCCACCTTGGATTGTTCGGTCGGAAACATCCTAGGCTGGTACCGGAAGGAGGCGCGGATTGAGGCCATGAATTCGTTGAGCTCCCTAGCCGACTCGCCCTTGTAGACCTTGGGGTCCTTGACCCTTCCCAAGGGTCTGTGGGCTGGCGTCATCTCTGTCGACAGAGTAGAGGCTGTTTCCTGGGCTTCCTCGTCCGGAGGATTCTCCCACTCTTCCTCGCTGTCCTGGTGTCGCCTCTTCCAGCTTTCCTCTCGTATCCGGGCCTGCCTTTCCGCGAAGAGCCTCACTTCTTCGGGGTAGGCGCTATAGTCTTCGCCGTGCGACTGTCAGAATACTTGGAGGGCCTCTTCCATGGTGTTGAAGTAGGCCTTTTCCTCATCTATTCGTCTCCAGAGGCTAGCCAGCTTCGAGGCCATCTCCTCTCTTGGGCTGTCAGCTTCCTGTGCTATAGGCCTCGGGGAAGGTTCTGTTGGTTCCGTCGAGGGTGTCGCTCCTCCGGAGGTCGCCCGGGTAATCCTCTTTTCATCCTAATCTGGTAGGCTGAATATAGGTTGAGTCAATAGAATTGTAAAGGCGTAGGGCCCAGGGTGTCACGGGAGTTCAGGGAACCAGGTCAGGAGGCAGGAAGTAAGGGTTATATTGGTGTGAAGCACAATAGGTCTACGCTGATACAGCGACTATTGACTGGAGGCCTCACTCCGAGCCTCCAGCCCCTTATATACAGGAACCCGTAGGCCCTAATTTACCGAGCCCGCCAGGTCCACTGTAAGAGCGTGACACCTCACGTGCCCTCACGTGAGGGCCGCCTTACAGCTAAGGTGTGTATATAATAGCTTAAGCCCCTAAGGACGCCCCCTTGTCAGCTAGGTAAGGAATTACACTGATTGCTCGCTTAGCCCACCCA